TCCAGTCGTTTTTTCACCATTCATTTTTCGCATAGGGGATTTTAGAACCACTTCAAACAAGGTCTGTGTTTCATGTAGGCTTTCCCTGGTGTGACGTTATGATAACCGTGTAAATTCCTCTCCGACTATTTGACTTTTATCAATATGTTCGGCACGATTTACTCTCAGATTCGAAAATGCTAATTAGCATCAAAGTTGACACCATGCATTTACATTTTAGTCATTTAGCAGACACTCTTATCCAGAGCAATTTACAGTTAGTGAGTGCATACATTTTTTCATACTGGCCCCCCGTGGGAAACGAAGCCACAACCCTGGCGTTGCAAGCGCCATGCTCTACCAACTGAGCTACAGGGGACTACAAATCTCTGCACACTCCTGCACATCATCTCAAGCTGACACCTTTGCTGTCTGCTAGTAACTACTAGCAACCTTGATTGAAATGTAAATTATTGTTACAGATTTTAACTAATATTTGTTGTCTTATTTATGCATTTTTTTATTTAACCTTTATTTAACAAGGCAAGTCAGTTAAGAACAAAATCTTATTTACAATGACGGCCTACCAAAAGGCAAAAGGCCTCCTGCGGGGACGGGGGCTGGGATTAAAAATATTTGGTCTTGTGTTTTGTACAGAATACTTTGCAAATAAGCTAGCTAGCTACCTACCCAACTAGATGATATTAGCAACATATCCTTATTTTAACAGATCTTTCAGCCGGTGGAGGTCTATATTTAATCCCTGCCAACTATATGAACTAGGTGAAATCTGTTTCAATTTATAGTGTCAGAATGCACTGCTGTATAAAGCAATTCAGAACTAACTTGTTGACATGTTCTGTTGCAGATTCGAAGCCAGATTAACTAATTGCAGATTGTATCCATAATCATGAATTAATAAGCATATTTATTTGACAAGAATGCACCTAGTCACTCATCAATCACGTCAAACACCTGAACTCCAACAATTACATTGTTTTAAAGAAATCGAAATGGGTAACAATGCATACATATGCCTTTCATACATAACATATAAACATCTGACTTGAAGTAAAGATTAAATTATTTATTCATCAATGCCACAAACCTGGGACATCGAAGAGCACCATATTCACTGTTATTACTATCTGAAGGCGCACAGATTCTTCTGCTTGTCCATTTTAGGAATTAGACCAGCACAAATAACACAATGTAAAACAGCATATTGTGATTTATGGTGGGTGAGTTACAAATGGAGAAAAAACTGGCTACGGTAGGTTTAATATTAAATACTAGGTCAACTAAAGCAGAATGAGAAACGCACTTAACAGACTCAAAACAAGGAAGCCATGCCTAAATGCCGCTATATCAACGCCCATGTCAATTTAACAGGTCCATGTTGCTGCTGTCAATTGTGACCAGAACATTTAACACTGCAGCAGGAAAGCATTACACAGGTGGAAAAAAAAAGTAGAAAAACAGTAGTACACAGCAACACTTTTAATTGTGTTACTGAGTCTAGATGATATCAAATCAGGAGAAGAACAAGTAAAGGAAGCAGCATAGGGAAGATGGGTGAAGGTAGGGTAGGTTTATAGCGATAAAATGGGTGAAGATAGGGTGGGTTTATAGCGATAAGATGGGTGAAGGTAGGGTGGGTTTATAGAGATAAGATGGGTGATATTAGGGTGGGTTTATAGAGATAAGATGGAGAGGTCCGAAGTTGAGGGACCGTGGGGCATAAAAGGCAATGTGGAATAAGGGGTAGCTAGAGGGATGGTTGGCCATGGAATAAATATAAAATGGTGTGCTTCTGCACCCCTTTTATGTCGTTGTCACAGTCTGAGTATGTCCAGTCATACTCAGGGTCTCAGCGCGTGTCCCTCGACATCATTCCATCTCCGTTGCAGCATTCAAATCGTGGTCATTGTGTGCCTGTGAATCACATTAAAGACTATGAGTGTTCACAGCATTTCCACAAGTAGAGCCATTGACAATACAACTTAAGCATTGAGGACAGCATTTTGTTGACATGGTGGTTTACACTATGTCTACTATGTGTGAATAATGGAAGAATCTTACCCCAGCTGTAGGTCCATTTGAGTGTGTGTGGTCACTTAGGGCTGCACGTCAACCAGTACTGGGACCATTGGAGACTTGGGACGCTTGCTCTCAAAGTACTGCTTGAATGTCAGTATGAAAATGTATGCACTCACTAACTGTAAGTCGCTCTGGATAAGAGCGTCTGCTAAATGACTAAAATGTAAATGTCTTCGGGTGTGGGTCTATAAAGGTCAAGTGTAAAATGAAGGAAGTTAATATGTGGCTCCGATTGACTTGAAAGTTGACACAAATGATAAACTAAGCAACAAACTACTACACATATGAAAGACTGTTCCACACAGGCCAGTACAATAGCCTACACATGGATAGGAACCTAAAAGCACACAGTACCAACCAACAGACAGGGCATGTGTGGATCAGTGCTGCCTTGGCTGCAGTCTTCTGGTCCGCAACTGCACCTTTTTTCTCAGCAGCCTCCTCCTTGGCATCAGTCAAGTTCAACTTCAACTTGAGAGTGGAGCATGCGTTATATTAGTTGAGCGGAGACTAGTGTGAGGGGACTGGAGCTCCGTTAATTGCGGGCTATTCTTTGGATGCTGAAATCAGTCGTTTTTGATAAAAACGTCATTTTATGTGATGTCAGAGCTCCAGTCCGCCCACACTAGTTGCTGCTCAACTCCATCGTAATTCGTGGAATTGAGTCGGCTAGGCTCAAGACTAACTTTTTTCACCATGTCCCAGAATCATCCGGAAGTGCAATTTAAACCGGCCCAAACTCCAGATGAACCGTCCCATAATAAAATACTAATTGAAAAAAGAAATATGTTTTGATATGCCAACATGGGCCTACTCTAGGACCTAGGTCATTCACAATGATTTAAAATGCTAATAAGAGCCTACTACTGAAATAGATCACCTAAAAAAAATAGCCTCTAAAAAGGCCAACATTGGAATACTATTTACATCTATTTTACATAAATGTAGATACATAATTAGCCTACATGTAAAAATGTAGCCTACGTTATATGCATATAGGCTACAGCCTCTCATGTCCACACTGACGCTGACATGATGGAGGCGCCAGAACATTTTGCCAAACTTTAATGAGACTTAAATTTAGGCTAAACGACAGTTATGTTTGACAATTATAAAGTAGGATAATTAACACATTAACGTCTAAAGGTTTGATTCTGTTGACATAGCCTACTCGAGGCACAGTTAGTTTAGATCAAATGGTCACAAGAGCAGAGAGTGAAGGACAGTGCCTGCTGCGCACCGCACACATCACACACCTTGCAATCTGAGCGGAGGCAGTCAGCATTTTGAAACTATTTAACCATAAACGTAATTGTGTAAAACCTGGAAGTTGTCATTTCTTTAGGCATAGCTTACCTTGTTTCAAAGTACCCTATAGCCAAAACCATGTTCTATTGGTTTTCAAATCAACTTTATTTCATAGTCCAGAAGGCAAAGACAAAATCCTAGTCATATTAGCAACCCATGCTAGTTGTTGCATCTTTAGATCTCCCCTCTTTCTAAATTTCTAACAGATATTTTCATCTTTGTCACATGAAACCATTCACATGTGCAGTGCATTTTTTATTATTATTATAATAATTTTTTAGAACTGTGTGTTCCCCCTAATTGCATTTTGGAACATTTGCGGGTAGGCTACTGCCATGTGTGCATTGCTGCGCTTATAATGTCAATAAATAATAGTTGAGTTCATTTTAAGCTAAACGTTCTGATCTGTTACATTAGCCTCATTGCTTTTAAAATTGTTTTGATGTACAGTAGTTGTATGCATTTTGGATCTATCGTCCCAGAGTCTGTTTGAACCGCCCCATACATATTTTTTTATCGTCGACGGGACAACCTTAATTTCGAGCCCTGGCTTCATACCCAGAGAGAAAGCACATCGTTCGATCCACTCTCCCTCTCTCTTAAACTGTTGGATGATTATTTTTCAGTTTCTCTCCTTTCCTGTGTTGGCTCTAGTAATGATTCGTAGGACTGGGGGCGGTCAGGATACAATGAACGACGCAAACAAGAATTATGAGGGCGAAGTATGTAGCTAGCTAGTGCTAGTTAATTAGTTTGTTTTTCTCTCATCACTTGTCATGACTACCTGCTGCAGCACTCTCTCAACACCAATGACTGTGCTCAACACACACACACCCCTACGGCCCACCCCTCCCTCCCCACCACTCAATAACTCACTCGGCAACAGCCTGCCTCACTGCCTGATTGTCAGCAGTAACAATTAAATTAATCTGTTTGTTTTTTTTAAGAAAGAAATGCAATTTAGAAGTAGCACAAAAACCTGCAACCCGCGACCAATACATTTTCACCCACAACATCGTTTTTAAAGTAGCTCAATTTTGCTAGGAAACCGCAGACATGGCAACCCTGCTCGTTGGCCAAACCCTATGGGGAAATTAATTAGATGTTTTTGTTGCAATTACTGTATATATATTTTTTGGGATAAACACCGAAAATAAAGTATGTGGTAAACACAGGCTTAGGAGATCTGATACGTTTTGTTCTGAGATAATCTTCATCAGCTAACGTAAATTTTTGTGAATTTGAAGCATTTATGTAATCAAAACAAGCACATAAAGGCTTCATAATTCATAAAGGGCATGTTCACTGACTGATATTATCCCATAGAACAAAACATATAAGATCTCCTAAGCTTGTGTTAACCTCAGACCTTATTTTCGGCGTTTATCCCAAAACCCCATTCTTTCCCCATTCATTTCCCCAATGGGAATGTCTGACGAACCAGAGGTAAATCATTTCTGTTTTTTTAGGACTACATGCTGGTGAGTGCTATAGAACACATACTAGCTACATTTATTGGTTACATCATTTAAGAAACCAACTTATCAAGACACCATTGATAAAGTGTGTTGTGTGTGAATGTAAACAATTTCCCTTGTCTGCTCATTTTAGGTGAGGTACAATGTCGGAGAGCAGTTGATTCCCAGTTGGTCACCAGCCTGTTTAGGGACGGAATTTCCTTAGGTGACACTGGACAGACTACCACACCCAGAAAGGTAAGCATTTCTCCACACTTGTTTCAAAAAGGGCAGCTAATATTTCAGTGGTTATCAAAACAACCTGAGTCTGAAAGCAAATATGACCTATAGCCTACCCATACTAGTGGTAATCTTGCGTTCAAGTGATGCTGTTGGACCTGTTTACTGTTCTGTTAGTGTTCTTGTGTTACATCTTTTTTCAGTTGTCTTTGACTGTGACATGTGTTCAGAGTACATTTTCTCACAGTTAGTGGATTATTCCCAGTTATATCTTGCATCCCAACCTTGTGTCCAACAGCCTGCAGCGTTAGATGAGATAAAGCTCAAATCACCTACCATCAAAGAGGAGAGGCTGGAGGAAGCCTGGGACAATCATGACCAACGAGAGAGACTGAGTACCGGTAAGTAAATGGGAGACGGGCTTAATCAAGTGTTTTCATTATGCCTTTTGGGAAAAAAAGTTTTTTGTATTACACACATCTCATTGCACTTAGGTTCTGGGTCATACCATTTGGCCTTTTCCCATAAATATGAATAAATCACAATGTTATATTGGGGAAAAAAACATGATAAATTATTACGGTCATGTAAAATGATTGCAATAATGTTAAACTGCGTACTGTATACAATTCATGAATTGATTTAATTATAAGTGCAACAGATTTCATGCCAATATTTTTGGCTTTCATATAGACTAGAAATTGCTCATATCCTTTGACTGATTTGTAATATTTGATGATTACCTTCATGATCATCCAGTTCATAGTGATTCACACACTGTGTTGTTCATTTTGTAGGAGCTTTAAATCACAGTGTTGATGGAGGAGAAAGGCATTCCAACATCGAAACAGAGGCTGCTCAACCAATCAGCAAACAGGAGAACGCCAGCTCTTGTAAATGGGTGAGTGGCGAAACAGACAACAATGAAAACCTGAGTGTGAACAAAAGATCTCAAACCCCAGCATTGGAAGATGGTGATGGAATACTTGACCATGCAGGCTTTGATTGTATGATGTTTGAGCCCCCCAGACAACTTGGGACACTTAGCACCCAGGGTCCTGGGGCTGATCTTCCCGAGTGCTCTTACTCTCATGTGGATGTTGTACCTATTCACTCTGATTCAGAGAATGGTTTTCCCTTTTCGATGTACAAGGTGAGTCACTCCATAACTGAGCACAAACAACCTGTAGCTTACAGAGACAATAGACAGAGGGCGCCGTTGCCCTCAGATGAGCCTCACATGACTGTGCGAAAAGGCATTGAGACTGGATCCAGTGCCTTGGTAATGATGGATGGTTGGGTCTCCCATGACAGTCATAATAATGACGCTGTGAATTACAACCGAGATGGCACAGCAGGTAACCGGTTCATTTGTAGTTTCTGTGGTAAGACTTTGGCTTGTCTGAAGAACCTCAAGACACACCTGAGGGTTCACACCGGGGAGAAGCCGTTCAGCTGCATGCGGTGCGGGAAGCGCTTCTCCGACTCCAGCAACCTCAAGCGACACCAGAGCGTTCACACGGGGGAGAGACGCTACGGCTGCAGCCACTGCGGCAAGCGCTTCGCCCAGTCGGGGCACCTCAAAGTTCACCTGAGCGTACACACAGGATGCAAGCAGTTTAGATGCCCACAGTGTGGAAAGACTTTCATATCGGCCAATCATCTCAAGAGACACATCAGTGTCCACGATGGAGAAGAAAGTATTTTACCAACCACTTTTCAGTGAGTGAAAGTGTACACAAACGTTCTTCAGCCCAGCTTGAACAAAAAAGGAATTGCGTCTTGACTGAGGGAATTCATAATCCAAAAAGTATTCTATACACTTTTGAATTAGTGTCTTTGTAACTCTCATTGAAGTTGTTTATCACTTATCCTCAGCCCACTGTGTGGAAAGCTGTTTGCGGACTCAAGTAGTCTCATCAGATACAAGTGTTCACACAGGAGAAATACCCTCCATCTGCATACAGTCTGGGGAGGAGCTTGCTGCGAAACACAACCTTACACTTCACCTATAGAGAAACCATTCTGCTTGCTCAAGTGCTGGAGATGTATTGTCACTGACTATACTATGAACACGATCGTGAATAATTCTACTTTTTAACATTTTAACTGAACACATTTTTGTCTGTAGGCTATTTGTCATTTACAGTTGAGGACTAGTCTTATAACAAAACAAAAAGAATGGAATCAACAAATAATTTGTGTGCCGCCATTACTATTAATATTTCAAAAGTGCTGCAGGCAATATATGAAAGGTGCAGTACAAACAGCGATTGTTACAACTATTATTATTAATATAAAAAATACTACCTCTCTTTAGGAAAAACACTCCTCCAAGCCAATCACTCTAGTCAAATGATATCTCGCAAAGGCTCACATATGACATTTTTGTAATATGTATTCTGTTGCACACATTCTTTTTTTTCCCCAGAATTGCCCTTGAAAATTGATGTTTTTGTGAAATAAACAATTTTAAGAAAAAGGCCACCACATTCCTGACTTTCTTGACTCTCATCCAGTAGGATGCAGAACCAGCTACTCATCAGCAACACTAAAGAAGCACTTCCGGGTCACGGAATTTCAGAAATCTTCATAAGTCTCCCACGTAATAGTAGAAAAGTGTCAATAACCTGTATTTATTCATGATATATGAAAATTGTCTAAACAATAACAATGATTCATATTTAAGTGACATTTGCATTATAGTTGGGTTTTAAAACATGTTCCATGGTCAAATAAAGATAACACATTTCTGTATACAGCACAGCACTTACAAATATTGCACTGTACAGGAAAAACTATTGATTGTGTGTCCATAAAACCAGGGTCCTGTCTACTCACTATAGTCCCATAGAATACAAGACAGATGAGTTTGAACAAAAAGCTAGTTCATAGGAAGTGTTGCTGGCTTTTTACTCCGCCCCCTCCAAATCCCCCAATGCAACACACTGCATGTGGCCAGCCAGCAGCATACCACACTGCATCCCACTGCTGGCTTGCCACTGAAGCTAAACAGGGTTGGTCCTGGTTGTTCTCTGGATGGGAGAAGTGGTGTTGGCGGGCCAGTAGGAGGCATTCTTTCCTCTGGTCTAAAAAAAAAGATCCCAATACCTCAGTGTAGTGATTGGGGACATTGCCCTGTGCAGGGTGCCTTCTTTCGGATGGGACGTTAAACGGGTGTCCTTCCTCTCTGTGGTCACTAAAGATCCCATGGCACTTATCGTAAGAGTGTCCTGGCTAAATTCCCAATGTGGCCCTCATACCATCATGGCCACCAAATCAACCCCAGCTTCCAATTGGCTCATTCATCCCCTCTCCCCTGTAACTATTCCCCAGGTCATTGCTTTAAATAAGAATGTGTTCTCAGTCACCTTACCTGGTAAAATAAGGGTTATAAAATATATATATATATATATCTATATATATATATATATATATATATATATATATCTATATATATATCTATATATATATATATATATATATATATATATATATATATATATATATATATATCTATATATATATATATATCTATATATATATATATCTATATATATCTATATATATATATATATATACACACACACAGTGGGGAGAACAAGTATTTGATACACTGCCGATTCAGCAGGTTTTCCTACTTACAAAGCATGTAGAGGTCTGTAATTTTTATCATAGGTACACTTCAACTGTGAGAGACGGAATCTAAAACAAAAATCCAGAAAATCACATTGTATGATTTTTAAGTAATTAATTTGCATTTTATTGCATGACATAAGTATTTGATCACCTACCAACAAGTAAGAATTCCGGCTCTCACAGACCTGTTAGTTTTTCTTTAAGAAGCCCTCCTGTTCTCCACTCATTACCTGTATTAACTGCACCTGTTTGAACTTGTTACCTGTATAAAAGACACCTGTCCACACACTCAATCAAACAGACTCCAACCTCTCCACAATGGCCAAGACCAGGGAGCTGTGTAAGGACATCAGGGATAAAATTGTAGACCTGCACAAGGCTGGGATGGGCTACAGGACAATAGGCAAGCAGCTTGGTGAAAAGGCAACAACTGTTGGCGCAATTATTAGAAAATGGAAGAAGTTCAAGATGACGGTCAATCACCCTCGGTCTGGGGCTCCATGCAAGATCTCACCTCGTGGGGCATCAATGATCATGAGGAAGGTGAGGGATCAGCCCAGAACTACACGGCAGGACCTGGTCAATGACCTGAAGAGAGCTGGGACCACAGTCTCAAAGAAAACCATTAGTAACACACTACGCCGCCATGGATTAAAATCCTGCAGCGCACGCAAGGTCCCACTGCTCAAGCCAGCGCATGTCCGGGCCCATCTGAAGTTTGCCAATGACCATCTGGATGATCCAGAGGAGGAATGGAAGAAGGTCATGTGGTCTGATGAGACAAATATAGCTTTTTGGTCTAAACTCCACTCGCCGTGTTTGGAGGAAGAAGAAGGATGAGTACAACCCCAATAACACCATCCCAACCGTGAAGCATGGAGGTGGAAACATCATTCTTTGGGGATGCTTTTCTGCAAAGGGGACAGGATGACTGCACCGTATTGAGGGGAGGATGGATGGGGCCATGTATCGCGAGATCTTGGCCAACAACCTCCTTCCCTCAGTAAGAGCATTGAAGATGGGTCGTGGCTGGGTCTTCCAGCATGACAACGACCCGAAACACACAGCCAGGGCAACTAAGGAGTGGCTCCGTAAGAAGCATCTCAAGGTCCTGGAGTGGCCTAGCCAGTCTCCAGACCTGAACCCAATAGAACATCTTTGGAGGGAGCTGAAAGTCCGTATTGCCCAGCGACAGCCCGGAAACCTGAAGGATCTGGAGAAGGTCTGTATGGAGGAGTGGGCCAAAATCCCTGCTGCAGTGTGTGCAAACCTGGTCAAGACCTATAGGAAACGTATGATCTCTGTAATTGCAAACAAAGGTTTCTGTACCAAATATTAAGTTCTGCTTTTCTGATGTATCAAATACTTATGTCATGCAATAAAATGCAAATTAATTACTTAAAAATCATACAATGTGATTTTCTGGATGTTTGTATTAGATTCCGTCTCTCACAGTTGAAGTGTACCTATGATAAAAATTGCAGACCTCTACATGCTTTGTAAGTAGGAACACCTGCAAAATCGGCAGTGTATCAAATACTTGTTCTCCCCACTGTATATATGGAATACATATTTTACTGTAGAGAATTGTTTTACTGCCTGTCTAAACTGGGGTGGAAAATACTACTACTACTACTACTAACCAAACAAAAATAATCCGTTTTGGAGGGGGACTTTGTCGTACAGACTGTTGCTGGCTTTCACTCCGCCACCTCCATTGCTGCCAGTGGATAGATGCAGCTACATGTTGCTATAACTGGAGTCCTGTGGGCAAAGAGTTGAACAACTTTTGCAGTGATGGGGAGCATCCAAGCAAAGAAGATGAAGATTCTGTAAAACAGTCTTATGCTGTTATGAAGGTAGATGACTAATAATGTGACAAAATATATAATATCTCTTATCTGGGAAATGTTTACTACGGTTTCAGGCACCCTAGTTAAAATGCAGTACGTTACAGCCTTATTCTAAAATGGATGGAAGAAAAAAAATCCTCATCAATCTACACAATACCCCATAATGACAAAGCGAAAACAGGTTTTTAGACATTTTTGCTAATTTATATAGAATAAAAAACAGAAATCCCTTATTTACATAAGTATTCAGACCATTTGCTATGATACTCAAAATTTTAGCTCTGGTGCATCCTGTTTCCATTGATCATCCTTGATGTTTCTACCATTTGATTGGAGTCCGTGTAGCTCAGTTGGTAGAGCATGGCGCTTGCAATGCCAGGGTTGTGGGTTCGATTCCCACGGGAGGCCAGTATGGGAGAAAAAAAAATTATTCACTGGATAAGAGCGTCTGCTAAATGACTAAAATGTCAATGTCAATGTAAATTCAATTGATTGGACATGATTTGGAAAGGCACACACCAGTCTATATAAGGTCCCACAGTTGACAGTGCATGTCAGAGCAAAAACCAAGCCATGAGGTCGAAGGAATTGTCCGAAGTCAGGATTGTGTCGAGGAACAGATCTGGGGAAGGGTAGCAAAAAATGTCTGCAGCATTGAAGGTCCCCAAGAACACAGTGGCCTCCATCATTCTTAAATGGAAGAAGTTCGGAACCACCAAGACTCTTCCTAGAGCTGGCCGCCCAGCCAAACTGAGCAATCGGGAGGGGGGAGGGCCTTGGTCAGGGAGGTGACCAACAACCAGATGGTCACTCTGACAGAGCTCCAGAGTTCCTCTGTGGAGATGGAAGAACCTTCCAGAAGGACAACCATCTCTGCAGCACTCCACCAATCAGGCCTTTAAGGTAGAGTGGCCAGACGGAAGCCACTCCTCAGTATGGCACATGACAGCCCACTTGGAGTTTGCCAAAAGGCACCTAAAGGACTCTCAGACCATGAGAAACAAGATTCTCTGGTCAGATGAAACCAAGATTGAACTATTTGGCCTGAATGCCAAGCGTCACGTCTGGAGGAAACCTGGCACCATCCCTACGGTGAAGCATGGTGGTGGCAGCATCATGCTGTGGGGATGTTTTTCAGCGGCAGGGACTGGGAGACTAGTCAGGACCGAGGGAAAGATGAACGGAGCAATGTACAGAGAGATCCTTGATGAAAACCTGCTCCAGAGCGCTCAGGACCTCAGACTGGAGCGAAGGTTCACCTTCCAACAGGACAACGACCCTAAGCATACAGCCAATACAACGCAGCAGTGGCTTCAGGACAAGTCTCTGAATGTCCATGAGTTGCCCAGCCAGAGCCTGGACTTGAACCCGATCGAACATCTCTGGAGAGACCTGAAAATAGCTGTGCAGCGACGCTCCCCATCCAACCTGACAGAGTTTGAGAGGATCTGCAGAGAAGAATGGGAGAAACTCCCCAAATACAGGTGTGCCAAGCTTGTAGCGTCATACCCAAGAAGACTTGAGGCTGTAATCGCTGCCAAAGGTGCTTCAACAAAGTACTTAGTTAAGGGTCTGAATATTTATGTCAATGTGATATCTGTTTATATTTAATACATTTTCAAAAAATTCTACAAACCTCTTTTTTATTTGTTATTATTGGGTATTGTGTGTAGATTGATGAGGGAAAAAAAACAATTCTATCAATTTCAGATTAAGGCTATAACGTAACAAAATGTGGAAAAAGTCAAGGGGTCTGAATTCTTTCCAAATGCATTGTATATATTTTCCATGTCCTTGTTCAGCCATGACTCTGAGAAACATGGGATATTACAGTTCTTCAGATCACGTTGATAAGATAGTCTCGAAACTGAGCTCGTCCAGTTTATTCTCCAGTGATTGCACGTTCGCCAATAGAACGGAGGGTAGAGGCGGTTTATCCACTCGCCGACGTAGTCTCGTCAGTATCCCGCATGCCGTCCTCTATAACAATACAAACCGTACTAACATAATTATCTATGAGACGTCATATTATTCAAAGCTTTTAAGAAAGGATTAATTTGGTTCCCTTACAGTATATGGTGAAGGAGATGGGTAAGCCTGAGTGCATCCAAATCAAAGAGGAAAGACAGGAGAACACCATAAGCCTACAGAATGACCCAAGGATCAAAGGTGGGTGCTTATATTTGTCTTATTTCACATATGTACAAGTGTGTATTAATACGCATGTGTGAATTGGAAATGTGTTTTTTTGCATATCCCACTCTCCCTGAGACACCCTCGGCGAGTGGGGTCATGGCCAGGGTCTGCCATTCAACTGCGACCCTGGAGCAATTAGGGTTAATTGCCTTGCTCAAGGGCATATCGACAGATTTTTCACCTTGTCGGCTCAGGGAGAGTAAGTGCAATGGAGGCCTATAATGAAATGTAAAATGCCAGTCATATGGAGTGGATGGTTTATCTATAATTTAAAAAAAACAACTCCATCTTAAAATGATTTCTCAAAGTCAAGGAAAGGCAATTATCCACTATTTTATATTTCATCAATTATTTCCTCTCTATAGGCAGTGTTGAATCAGGTGCTGATGAAGACCAAAGGGATGTGATTGGACACACTCAGACTGACAGTCTCTTTGAGGACAATGATCCGCACATCAACGCAGACCAAGAGAGGGAGCGCACGATCCAGAAGTTTCAGCATACGAAAGTTGCACACTGCGTACGGAGGCAGGGATACTCTGGCTTGTGGACACCAAGAAGCACTGAAACAGATTCTGAGGATCCAGCTTGTTCTTATTCTGAGGAAATTAGCCCCACTCGTGTCAAAGCTCACACAAAGCAACAACAGACTTCCTTAGCTGAGGAAAGCACTTTGTTCGCTGTTGAATCTCACAATGTGAAACCAGTGGCTGCAATACTTGATTCTGAACCCTATGAAGCAAAATATCAATCTAGCAGTAGTGATAATGATTATTATGATAATGATAGCAGTAAAAACAGCATGTCTTACGAGGCTAGTGAAAACTTTGGAAATCTTGCTGAGAGGTGTTTCTCTAACAGTCAAGTAAATATGAGAGGGAACACAGCAAGGCTAAAGGTGGGCATAGTCCAACGCTACATAGCAGGACATAAAATGCAACACAGGGTTGGCAAGCGAGAAAAACGGTTTGTTTGTGGCTTCTGCAGAAAACATTTCACTTGTCCAAAGTATCTTCAGTCTCACCAGCGGGTTCACACGGGAGAGAAACCCTTCAGCTGCTCTCAGTGTGGGAAGAGGTTCGGCCAATCTGTTTATCTGAAGAAACATCAGACCGTCCACACTGGAGAGAAACCATTTGTTTGCCCACTTTGTGGAAAGCAGTTTGCGGATGCAAGTAATCTCATCAGACACAAGAGTGTTCACACAGGAGAAAGACCCTCCATCTGAATACAGTCTGAGGAGAGGTTTGCTGCAAAGCACAACCTTATTATTCACAGAGAGAGAAACCATTCAGGTTGCGCAAATGCTGGAGATTGTTTTGTCACACAGAGTACACCATGAACACAATTAGTCATGAATAATTCTACTTTTTAACATTTTGACTGTAGGCTATTTGTCATTTTACAGTTGAGGACTAGTCTTGTAACAAAACAAAATTAATGGAATTAAAATATGTGTGCCTCCATTAAAGCAGAAATATGTAACTTTTTGGGCGACCTGACCAAAATCACATAGAAATCTGAGTTATAGATCTGTCATTCGCATTGAAAGCAAGTCTAAGAAGTGGTAGATATGTTCTATGTGTGCTATTTCTATGCTTCCTGTTAAGCTTCGTTTTTTTGTCTTTAATTTTATTCCAAGGTCAAATAAAGAATAACACATTTCTTTATACAGCACATACAAATATTGCACTGTACAGGAAAAATCTTATCTTATATAAAGTAAAAACTCTTTAGTTAAGATTTTTCCCCAATGTAGTTATACTTTTGTAACATAATTTTAACATCACGCACTATGCAAAGCTCCAAAAAATATTTATTTCATATCATCAGTGATGGGAAAAGTACCCAATTGTCATACTTGAGTAAAAGTGAAGATACCTTAATAGAAAAGGACTCAAGTAAAAGTGAAAGCCAACCAGTAAAATAATACTTGAGTAAAAGTCTAAAAGTATTTGGTTTTAAATATACCGCAGACTTTACCGCAGACTTTTATTTTGAAGGCTGAATCTGAAAACCGGAAGTCTTATTGTGGATAGATGAAGCTACATGTTGCTGATATAACTGGAGTCCCGTGGGTAAAGAGTTGAACCCCCCCAAAAAATCCCTCCTTTATATAGTTTTTTCTCACCCATCCACACACAGTACCCAATAATGACAAAGTGAAAGCATATTTTTAGAAATTGTAGCAAATGTATTGAATATGAAATACAGATTACAGTTTTGAGTCGTCTTGGGTAAGAGTCATCAATTTTGCAAATCTGGATTTGGGGATTTTCTCCCATTCTTCCCTGCAGATTTTCTCATGCTCTGTTAAATTAGATGGGGAGCGGCGGTGAACAGCAATCTTCAAGTCTTTCCACAGACTTTCAATGGGATTCAAGCCTGGGTTTTGGCTGGGCCACATAAGGACTTTCACATTCTTGTTCTGACGCCATTCCAGCGTTGCTTTGGCTGTATGCTTGGGGTCATTGTTCTGTTGGAACGTAAATCTTTGCCCCAGTCTAAGATGAGCTGTGCTTGGTTTTCTCCAGACAGCGCTTTGCATTCAGGCCAAAGAGTTACATTTTTGTCTCATCAGATCACAGAATCTTTTGCCTTATGATCAGTCTTTCACGTGCCTTTTTGCAAACTCCAGGCGTGATGTCATGTGCCTTTTTCTCAGGATTGGCTTCCTTCTGGCCACTCTCCCATAAAGCCCAGATCGGTGAAGTGCTGAAGAAACTGTTGTCCTTCTGGTAGGTTCTCCCATCTCAGCCAAGGAACTCTGTAGTTCAGTGGAGGCTGGTCGGAGGAGATATAGGAGGACTGGCTCATTGTAATGGCTGGAATGGAATTAATGGAACGGCGTCAAATGTGGTTTCCATATGTTTGATACCAGTCCATTTATTCCATTCCAGCCATTACAATGAGCCTGTCCTCCTATAGCTCCTCCCACCAGCCTCCACTGCTGTAGTTCTGTCAGAGTGGTCATTGGGTTCTTGGTCACCTCCCTGACCAAGGTCCTTCTTGCCCGGTTCCTCAGCTTGGTCAGACGGCCAGCTCTAGGCAGAGTCTGGGTAGTTCCATATTTCTTCCATTTCCCAATCATGGAGACCTCTGTACTCTTGGAAACTTTCAACACTCTAGAAAATTGTTTTATACCCTTCCCCAGATATATGCCTCATCACAATTATATCTCGGAGCTCTACGGACAGTTTCTTGGACTTCATGGTATAGTTTCTGCTCTGGCATGCACTGTCAACTTTGGGACTGTATAAAGACAAGTGTGTTTCTTTCTAAATCATGTCCAAACAATTGAATTGGCCACAGGTGGACTCCAATCAAGTTGTAGTGACATCTCAAGGATTATCAAAGGAAATTGGATGCACCAGAGCTCAATTTGGAGTGTTATAGAAAAGGGTTGTGAATACTTGTGTAAATGAGATATTTCTGTATTTCATTTTCAATAAATGTGCTAACATTTCTAAAAACATGTTTTCACTTTGTAATTATGGGGTATTGTGAGTAGTGTAACTACATTTAATAAATTTTGAATTCAGGCTGTAACACAACAAAATGTGGAATAAGTCAAGGGGCATGAATATGATCCAGTATGTGTATAATTATAATGGACACTTCATGTTTTGTGGATAATATTTACATTTCCAGTGGGTGAAAGAGGGCTGTTAAGGTCACAAAATTTCATCAGCCGGTGATTGTCAAGCAAATAACTGCTGGTCTCACGGTAATTGACCAATAATTAACATAAACACATTTAGCATCTCCTGGCTTCCACACATAGCCTACAAGCCACTGATGCAGACCTTTGGAACATCTACAAGTCTAATAAATCCATGTAATACTGTGCCTTCGGTAAGTATTCAGACCCCTTGACTTTTTCCACATTTAGTTATGTTACAGCCTTATTCTAAAATTGATTAAATAAAAACAAATCCTACACAATCTACACACAGTACCCATAATGACAAAGCGAAAACAGGTTTTTAGACATTTTTGCAAAAAAAATAAAAATATATATATACGTATTCAGACCCTTTGCTATGAGACTCAAAATTAAGCTCAGGTGCATACTGTTTCATTGATCATCCTTGAGCCGTTTCTACAACTTGATTGGAGTCCACCTGTGGTAAATTCAATTGATTGGACATGATTTGGAAAGGCACACACCTGTCTATAAAAGGTCCCACAGTTGACAGTGCATGTTGGAGCAAAAACCAAGCCATGAGGTCAAAGGAATTGTTTGTAGAGCGCCGATACAGGATTGTGTCGAGGCACAGATCCTTGGAAGGGTACCGAAAAATGTCTGCAGCATTGAATGTCCCCAAGAACACCGTGGCCTCCATCATTCTTAAATGGAAGAAGGTCGGAACCACTCTTCATAGAGCTGGCTGCTCGGCCAAACTGAGCAATCAGGGGAGAAGGGCCTTGGTCAGGGAGGTGACCAAGAACCCGATGGGCACTCTGACAGAGCTCTAGAGTTTCACTGGAGCTTGGAGAATCTTCCAGATGGACAACCATCTCTGCAGACGTTATTCCAGTAGATGGCCTAGTATAGGCTTGGGCCTTCAGCAAGTGACTTGTGTGAGAATGAGACACAAAGAGCCTTCTCTAGAATAACCGCCTGAGCTGCAAAATAAAAAGTAAATACTATTTAGGCTAGGCCTATTCCGCTATCTAAATATGCCATGCTGTTGTGTGTTCTTTAATGGCCATATAATTGCATAATTTATTTTTATAGCCACGTGGGGCTACTGTGGTGATCATGTAACCTAATGAATCACACTTTTTCCAGTATTTGGGAGCACGGACTGTAGGCCTTATATTAGGCAGTTTGATGGTTGTATTAGTGAATTCCACTCTGTATGTAGGCTTGTTATAGCCATTTGCATTGCACAACCCCATCACGCAGAGGCTATATCCATATCAATAAATGGGTCAAAACAAAATATTGATTGTCTTGGCTATAACCTGTCCTGAGCGACATAGCCAAGTGGTCCCAAATGTTCAAGACTATCTATAGCCTATTCTTATTGTCAGATCTGTTTTCCCTATCAGCCACTCCATGTGCTTCAGCTATTTTGTTTAACATTTATTTAGAGGCTATATTTAGAGGGCTGTGAGCTAGGGTATCTTTTTAAGGGGAGCCCTATAATAAAAAGTTATAAAACACAAATAGAGTTCAAAAATTATTCCGCAAGAATCCAGTACCCAAAATGATAGCCTAAATTGCAATGCCTACAAGTTGAATGCCTAATTTTCATTTGGATAGGACTAAATTAAACATTGACTGAACTGAATGGATGAATTAAATGTTCAAATATGTTGGAATGACGAGTTGCACGCATCATGCATGCTCTGCACTTTATGAAGTAAACTCATCGGAGTAATAGAGAATGGAGACTTTTAACTTGAAAATGTGCAGGATACATCTTTTCGTTTTCCTTGACTTCAGTTTTGTTTACTGTGTTATGCTTGTTCTGGTAGCACTTCTCACAGGTCGTTTCAAATCAAATCAAATCTAATTTTATTTGCCACATGCGCCGAATACAACAGGTGTAGACCTTACAGTGAAATACTTACTGACAAGCCCTTAACCAACAATGCAGTTTTAAGAAAATAAAAAAAGTGTTAAGTAAAAAATAGATAAATAAAAAATACAAATAGCAAATAATTCAAGAGCAGCAGTCAAATAAAATAACAGTAGGGAGGCTAAATGCAGGGGGTACCGGTACAGTGTGCGGGGCACCGGTTAGTCGAGGTCATTGAGGTAATATGTACATGTGGGTAGAGTTAAAGTGACTATGCATAGATAATAAACAGAGTAGCAGCAGCGTAAAAGTGGGGGTGGGGTGGAGGGGCAATGCAAATAGTCTGGGTAGCCATGATTAGCTGTTTAGGAGTCTTATGGCTTGGGGTAGAAGCTGTTAAGAAGCCTTTTGGACCTAGACTTGGCGCTCCGGTACCGCTTGCCGTGCGGTAGCAGCGAGAACAGTCTATGACTAGGGTGGCTGGAGTCTTCGACAATTTTTAGGGCCTTCCTCTGACACCGCCTGGTATAGAGGTCCTGGATGGCAGGAAGCTTGGCCCCAGTGATGTACTGGGCCGTACGCACTACCCTCTGTAGTGCCTTGCGGTCGGAGGCTGAGCAGTTGCCATACCAGGCAGTGATGCAACCAGTCAGGATGCTCTCGATGGTGCAGCTGTAGAACCTTTTGAGGATCTGAGGACCCATGCAAAATCTTTTCAGTCTCCTTAGGTTTTGTTGTGCCCTCTTCACGACTGTCTTGGTGTGCTTGGACCATGTTAGTTTGTTGGTGATGTGGACACCAAGGAACTTGAAACTCTCAACCTGTTACACTACAGCCCGTTGGTGAGAATGGGGACGTGCTCAGTCCTCTTTTTTTCCCTGTAGTCCACAATCATCTCCTTTGTCTTGATCCCATTGAGGGAGAGGTTGTTGTCCTGGCACCACACGGCCAGGTTTCTGACCTCCTCCCTATAGGCTGTCTCATCGTTGTCAGTGATCAGGCCTACCACAGTTGTGTCGTCGGCAAACTTAATGATGGTGTTGGAGTCGTGCCTGGCCATGCAGTCATGGGTGAACAGGGAGTACAGGAGGGGACTGAGCACGCACCCCTGAGGAGCCCCCGTGTTCAGGATCAGCGTGGCAGATGTGTTGTTACCTACCCTTACCACCTGGGGGTGGCCCGTCAGGAAGTCCAGGATCCAGTTGCAGAGGGAGGTGTTTAGTCCCAGGGTCCTTAGCTTAGTGATGAGCTATGAGGGCACTATGGTGTTGAACGCTGAGCTGTAGTCAATTAATAGCATTCTCACGTAGGTGTTCCTCTTGTCCAGGTGGGAAAGGGCAGTGTGGAGTGCAATAGAGATTGCATCATCTATGGATCTGTTGGGGCGGTATGTACATTTGAGTGGGTCTAGGGTTTCTGGGATAATGGTGTTGATGTGAGCCATGACCAGCCTTTCAAAGCACTTCATGGCTACTGACGTGAGTGCTACGGGTCGGTAATCATTTAGGCAGGTTATCTTAGTGTTCTTGGGCACAGGGACTATGGTGGTCTGCTTGAAACATGTTGGTATTACAGACTCAGTCAGGGACATGTTGAAAATGTCAGTGAAGACACTTGCCAGTTGGTCAGCGCATGTACATGTCCTGGTAATCCGTCTGGCCCTGCGGCCTTGTGAATGTTGACCTGCTTAAAAGTCTTACTCACATCGGCTACGGAGTGTGATCACATAGTCATCCGGAACAGCTGATGCGCTCATGCATGCTTCAGTGTTGCTTGCCTCGAAGCGAGCATAGAAGTGAATTAGCTCATCTGGTAGGTTTGTGTCACTGGGCAGCTCGCGGCTGTGCTTCCCTTTTGTAGTCTGTAATAGTTTTCAAGCCCTGCCACATCCGACGAGCGTCGGAGCCGGTGTAGTACGATTCAATCTTAGTCCTGTATTGACGCTTTGCCTGTTTGATGATTCGTCGGAGGGCATAGCGGGATTTCTTATAAGCGTCCGGGTTAGAGTCCCGCTCCTTGAAAGCGGCAGCTCTACCCTTTAGCTCAGTGGGGATGTTGCCTGTAATCCATGGCTTCTGGTTGGGGTATGCACGTACGGTCACTGTGGGGATGACGTCATCAATGCACTTATTGATGAAGGCAGTGACTGATGTGGTGTAATTTACGTATGGATTTTCTTACGAGCGTAACGATACGTACGTTCAACCTTTTGGCAGGTATCTCGCTCCATACAGATATTTCACCAGATGTATAAATGTGAAGCATCCAGTTGGCGTTTCCACTCACTACCTAATATGGTGGTGAGAGGAAGCCCAGTGGCCGGCAGTGGGAGAATATTGCGCAAAATAGATTTAGGCCATTCTGATAATTTACTCGTCAATGAAACATTTGATCTCCATACAGTTTTCAGTTTCCAAAACTAGAATCTGTAACAAACAGAGTGGACTGCGTTTTGTAGACTTTAACCTTTGCCAAAGTTTTTTTTTATGTGCGTTGTTTAGGAGTGCAAAGGCCAATTTAGTAATTGCACACTCGCATTTCACATAGTAGGTGTTTCCTAACGGAAATATGCAAATAAATGCTAGAACGCGCCAATAGGATCTCACTAACTCATGCTTTGCCCTGCCCACCTCCTTGCTTGTTATTGTTCTGCCCACTATGATTTAATTGATTTGCTCCCATTGGAAACGACAGGCTCTGGTCTATCTTGGGTTAGTTATAAAACATATTTGGTATAGCCTCTCCCTGGTGCTAACAAGAGACGCTTATGGTCGCTGTGGATAAAAAATAATAATAATCCCACTACCCGTACAGTAGGTGGCGGCAATACACAGTATCGGTTGTAGTTTGCCAATAAAGCTAAACGAAGAAGAAGAAGAGAAGAAAAGAAGGAGATTGAGACGCTGGTTGTACTTTGTTTACATTTTAGTGAACTACACTAAATTTGATTACGAGGTGTCTGCATCTAGCGGTTGCTTCTACACTACACTTCCATTAAAATTACACATTCTGAGGGCATTTTCGGTCTAATAATGGCAAATGCCGTTGCTTTTCACACTCAACTAGCCTCCATCATGGAGGTTTTGGCAAACGCGGCCGTGGCTGAAATCTGCGAGCTTGTTGACAATGGCTATGCGGTCCTGCATTTAGAGATATCTCAAGGGCAGAAGGAGAATGAAGCATTGAGGAGAAAACTACGGATGATGGAGCTGAAAGCGTCTCGTGCGAGTGCTCCGAGAGCGGGAATGGGAAGTTCCATCCTCGCGCACAGTCGCTCTCGAGCTCACCTTGGCATGGACTCAAAAAGGACATCAAGCAGTAAGATTTGGGCGTTCCAATAGAACACATACTAACTACATTTATTGGTTACATCATTTTAGAAACCAACTTATCAAGACATCATTGATAAAATGTGTTGTGTGTGAATGTTAACAATTTCCCTTGTCTGCTCATTTTAGGCGAGGTACAATGTCGGAGAGCAGTTGATTCCCAGTTGGTCACCAGCCTTTTTAGGGACGGAAAGTCCTCAGGTGATACTGGACAGACTACCACACCGAGAAAGGTAAACATTTTCCCACACTTGTTTCGATAAGGGCAGCCTAATATTTCAGTGGTTATCAACACAACCTAGGTCTGAATGTAAATATGACCTATAGCCTACCCATGCTAGTGGTAATCTTGCATTCAAGCGATGCTGTTGGACCTGTTTACTGTTCTGTTAGTGTTCTTGTGTTACATCTTTTTTCAGTTGTCTTTGACTGTGACATGTGTTCAGAGTACATTTTCTCACAGTTAGTGGATTATTCCCAGTTATATCTTGCATCCCAACCTTGTGTCCAACAGCCTGCAGCGTTAGATGAGATAAAGCCCAAATCACCTACCATTAAAGAGGAGAGGCTGGAAGAAGCCTGGGACAATTATGACCAACGAGAGAGACTGAGTACCGGTAAGTAAATGGGAGACGGGCTTAATCAAGTGTTTTCATTATGCCTTTTGGGAAAAAAAGTTTTGTATTACACACATCTCATTGCACTTAGGTTCTGGGTCATACCATTTGACCTTTTCCCATAAATATGAATAAATCACAATGTTATATTGGGAAAAAAACATGATAAATTATTACGGTCATGTAAAATGATTGCAATAATGTTAAACTGCGTACTGTATATAATTCATGAATTGATTTAATTATAAGTGCAACAGATTTCATGCCAATATTTTTGGCTTTCATATAGACTAGAAATTGCTCATATCCTTTGACTGATTTGTAATATTTGATGATTACCTTCATGATCATCCAGTTCATAGTGATTCACACACTGTGTTGTTCATTTTGTAGGAGCTTTAAATCACAGTGTTGATGGAGGAGAAAGGCATTCCAACATCGAAACAGAGGCTGCTCAACCAATCAGCAAACAGGAGAACGCCAGCTCCTATATATGGGTGAGTGGCGAAACAGACAACAGCCTCTTGCCAGAATCAAATGAAAACCTGAGTGTGAACAAAAGATCTCAAACCCCAGCATTGGAAGATGGTGATGGAATACTTGACCATGCAGGCTTTGATTGTATGATGTTTGAGCCCCCCAGACAACTTGGGACACTTAGCACCCAGGGTCCTGGGGCTGATCTTCCCGAGTGCTCTTACTCTCATGTGGATGTTGTACCTATTCACTCTGATTCAGAGAATGGTTTTCCCTTTTCGATGAACAAGGTGAGTCGCTCCATAACTGAGCACAAACAACCTGTAGCTTACAGAGACAATAGACAGAGGGCGCCGTTGCCCTCAGATGAGCCTCACATGACTGTGCGAAAAGGCATTGAGACTGGATCCAGTGCCTTGGTAATGATGGATGGTTGGGTCTCCCATGACAGTCATAATAATGACGCTGTGAATTACAACCGAGATGGCACAGCAGGTAACCGGTTCATTTGTAGTTTCTGTGGTAAGACTTTGGCTTGTCTGAAGAACCTCAAGACACACCTTAGGGTTCACACCGGGGAGAAGCCGTTCAGCTGCATGCAGTGCGGGAAGCGCTTCTCAGACTCCAGCAACCTCAAGCGACACCAGAGCGTTCACACGGGGGAGAGACGCTACGGCTGCAGCCACTGCGGCAAGCGCTTTGCCCAGTCAGGCTCACTCAAAGTCCACCTGAGCATACATAAAGGATGCAAGCAGTTCAGATGCCCACAGTGTGAAAAGACTTTCATATCGGCCAATCACCTCAAGAGACACATCAGTGTCCACGATGGAGAAGGAAGACTTTTACCAACCACTTTTCAGTGAGTGAAAGCGTACCCAAACATGCTTCAGCCCAGCTAGAACAAAAAAAGGAATCGGGTGCTCGACTGCAGGAGTTGATAATCTAAAAAGTATTCCATACACTTTTGAATGAGTGTCTTTGTAACTCTCATTGAAGTTGTTTATCACTCATCCTCAACCCACTGTGTGGAAAGCGGTTTGTGGACTCAAGTCATGTCATTAGACACACCGGATACTACATACAGTGTGGGGAGAGGTTTGCTGTGAAGCACAACCTTAGAATTCACCTAGAGAGAAACTATTCTGGTTGCTCTAGTGCTGGAGATTGTATTGTCACCGAGTATACCACAAACACAATTATTCATGAATAATTTTACTTTGTAACATTTTGACTGTAGTGGGCTATTTGTTATTTACAGTTGAGAAGTAGTCTTATAACAAAACAAAATGAATGGAATTAAAACAAGTTATTTTGTATGTGTGCCTCCATTATTAATATTTCAAAAGTGCTGCAAGCAATATATGAACAACACAAACAGCGATTGTTGTTATTATTATAATAAAAAATACCACCTCTCTTTAGGAAAAACACTCCTTCAAGCCAATCACTCTAGTAAAATGATATCTCGCAAAGGCCCACGTATTACATTTTGAAATATGTATTCTCTTGCACACATTGTCGGAAAATGTGTTTTTGTGAAATAAACAATTGTAAGAAAAAGGCCAGTACATTGCTGACTTTCTTGACTCATCCAGTAGGATGCGGAACCAGCGTCTCGTCTTCAACACTATGTAAGCACTTCCGGGTCACGAAATTTCTGAACATTTCCAAATAAAAAGTCCCCCACGTAAAAGTAGAAAAGTGTAAATAACCTGTAATTAGTCATGACATATGAAAAGTTATTGCCTAAACATTAATAATGATTCATATTTGTTCATATTTAAGTGAGATTTTCATGTCACGTCTGTCACGTGTTCAGTGTGAACCTGCTTTCAGGGCGCCAGTGGCGAATTTGCCAATCTTGGTGTTCTCTGGCAAATGCCAAACGTCCTGCACGGTGTTGGGCTGTAAGCACAACCCCCACCTGTGGACGTCGGGCCCTCATACCACCCTCATGGAGTCTGTTTCTGACCGTTTGAGCAGACACATGCACATTTGTGGCCTGCTGGAGGTCATTTTGCAGGGCTCTGGCAGTGCTGCTCCTCCTTGCACAAAGGCGGAGGTAGCAGTCCTGCTGCTGGGTTGTTGCCCTCCTACGGCCTCCTCCACGTCTCCTGATGTACTGGCCTGTCTCCTGGTAGTGCCTCCATGCTCTGGACACTACGCTGACAGACACAGCAAACCTTCTTGCCACAGCTCGCATTGATGTGCCATCCTGGATGAGCTGCACTACCTGAGCCACTTGTGTGGGTTGTAGACTCCGTCTCATGCTACCACTAGAGTGAAAGCACCGCCAGCATTCAAAAGTGACCAAAACATCAGCCAGGAAGCATAGGAACTGAGAAGTGGTCTGTGGTCACCACCTGCAAAACCAGAGCTTTATTGGGGGGTGTCTTGCCAATTGCCTATAATTTCCACCTGTTGTCTATTCCATTTGCACAACAGCATGTGAAATTTATTGTCAATCAGTGTCGCTTCCTAAGTGGACAGTTTGATTTCACAGAAGTGTGATTGACTTGGAGTTACATTGTGTTGTTTAAGTGTTCCCTTTATTATTTTGAGCAGTGTAGTAGACTGGACCCTGATTTTATGGACACACAATCATTTTTGTCTGTACAGGGCTATATTTGTACTGTTCAGACACTCCACTTTAAGCTGTTTGACCACAGTAAAAGTCCAGCAACACTTCCATTGACCTAGCTTTTTGTTCAAACGGTTTTGTATACTAGGAACTCTAGTGAGTAGACTGGACCATGGTTTTATGGACACACCATCAATAGTTTTTCCCTGTACAGTGCAAGTTGTTTGTGCAATACAACAAAAATACAGGAAGACTTTGCTTAAACATTACATTTCAAAATTGCATCCTTGAACAATAGCACCATTAAATTAACAATAATTATACAATAAAAATAATGCTTTTTGATTTTTTTACCAGTAGACTATTATGTTCCTTACATTCATTTACTTAAGCTCCAACCATTTCTCAATGTGCTCCACCTTTATAATATTATTGATCTTATATAAAGTAGTAATTATCTTTAGTTCCCTGATGAAGTTGGCTATCATTTTGTAACAATTCTAGCAATGTGCAAAGCTGCAAAAAAGATAGCGTTTTACAGTGGACTTTTAATCTGGAAGTTTTAATTTGGATAGATGCAGCTACATGTTGCTGATTATAATGGAAGTCCTGTGGGCAAGGAGTTGAACAACTTTTGCAGGGATGGGGAGCATTCAAGCAAAGAAGATGAAGATTCTGTAAAACAGTCTTGTTCTGTTATGAAGCTAGATTACTAATAATGTGACAATGCATAATATCTCTTACCTGGGAAATGTTAACTACGGTTTTAGGCACCCTAGTTAAAATGCAGTACTGGTATGATAGAGTAGGACAGGGATGGGCAACTTTGATGGGGGGTGGGGGACACAAAAAAACTGAACTCCTAATGAGGGGCCGCAGTGGGTCTGCGATAACTAATTCGACCATGCTTACTACAAGCTAGACTATCTTACCAATCTTAAAGAATTTAGCTGACATGGTCTAATTGAGTGACTGCTGATGCACAACAAAATTTCGAAATTGCATCTTGTGTATTCTATTATTCTAACTCTCAACAGTAAGTTGAGTCCCCGACTGATTCCCCCCCCCCCCCCCAAAAAATAAAAATAAATATGTTTTGTTTTGAAATTGGTCCGCGGGCCTACAAAAGGGCAGCCACCAGTTGCCCATCCCTGATCTAGATCATGCATTCTATTGTACTAGGTATTGATTTTCTGATGTATTTTCTTGCTTGATCATGTGACATGCAATTGTCCTTGAAATAGAAGCCACGTGTGTGTGCTGACGATTTACACTGAGGATGGCCTGAGGCCGAAACCTTTGTTTTGTTTTCACCTTTCTTGCGCTATGATTTTTTGGGCACCATGTTCTAATAAACATCTTGATTTTTCAGTCAAGCCTGATTTTTGGATTTATTCCATTTTTCGACAGTGTGCGGGTCTCCATCTCTCCCAGGACATAAAATGGAACACAGGGTTTGCAAGCAAGAAAAACTGTTTGTTTTTCTGCAGAAAAAGTTGAATTTGTTCAAAGTATCATCAGTCTCACCAGCGGGTTCACACAGGAGAGAAACCCTTCAGCTGCTCTCAGTGTGGGTAGAGGTTCGGCCAACCTGGTTATCAGAAGAAACATCAGAATGTCCTCACAGGAGATAAACCATTTGTTTACCCACTGTGAGGAAAGCAGTTTGCGGATGCAAGTAATCTCATCAGACACGAGTGTTCACACAGGAGAAAGACCCTTCATCTGAATACAGTCTGGGGAGAGGTTTGCTGTGAAAGCACAACCTTAGAATTCACCTAGAGAGAAACCATTCAGGTTGCTCAAGTGCTGGAGATTGTATTGTCACAGAGTATACCATGAACACGATTAGTCATGAATAATTCAATTTTTTTACATTTGGACTGAACACATTTTGTCTGTAGGCTATTTCTCATTTACAGTTGAGGACTATTGTAACAAATGTGTGTGTGTGTGTGTGTATATAAAGTCAGCAATAAAAGAAACGTCCCTTTTTCAGGACCCTGTCTTTCAAAGATAATTCGTAAAAATCCAAATAACTTCACAGATCTTCATCGTAAAGGGTTTAAACACTTTCCCATGCTTGTTCAATGAACCATAAACAATTAATGAACATGCATCTGTGGAACGGTCGTTAAGACACTAACGGCTTACAGGTAGGTAATTAAGGTCACAGTTATGAAAACTTAGGACACTAAAGAGGCCTTTCTACTGACTCTGAAAAACACCAAAAGAAAGGTGCCCAGGGTCCCTGCTCATCTGCGTGAAAGTGCCTTAGGCATGCTGCAAGGAGGCATGAGGACTGCAGATGTGGCCAGGGCAATAAATTGCAATGTCCGTACTGTGAGACGCCTAAGACAGCGCTACAGGGAGACAGGACGGACAGCTGATCGTCCTCGCAGTGGCAGACCACGTGTAACAACACCTGCACAGGATCGGTACATCCAAACATCACACCTGCGGGACAGGTACAGGATGGCAACAACAACTGCCCGAGTTACACCAGGAACGCACAATCCCTCCATCAGTGCTCAGACTGTCCGCAATAGGCTGAGAGAGGCTGGACTGAGGGCTTGTAGGCCTGCTGTAAGGCAGGTCCTCACCAGACATCACCGGCAACAACGTCACCTATAGGCACATTGTTACAGTTGAAGTCGGAAGTTTACATACACCTTAGCCAAATACATTTAAACTCGGTTTTTCACAATTCCTTACATTTAATCCTAGTAGAAATTCCCTGTCTTAGGTCAGTTAGGATCACCACTTTATTTTAAGAATGTGAAATGTCAGAATAATAGTAGAGTGATTTATTTCAGCTTTTATTTCTTTAATCACATTCCCAGTGGGTCAGAAGTTTACATACACTCAATTAGTATTTGGTAGCATTGCCTTTAAATTGTTTAACTTGGGTCAAACGTTTCGGGTAGCCTTCCACAAGCTTCCCACAATAAATTGGGTGAATTTTGGCCCATTCCTCCTGACAGAGCTGGTGTAACTGAGTCAGGCCTCCTTGCTCGCACACGCTTTTTCAGTTTTGCCCACCAATTTTCTATAGGATTGAGGTCAGGGCTTTGTGATGGCCACTCCAATACCTTGACTTTATTGTCCTTAACCAATTTTGCCACAACTTTGGAAGTATGCTTGGGGTCATTGTCCATTTGGAAGATCAATTTGCGACCAAGCTTTAACTTCCTGACTGATGTCTTGAGATGTTGCTTCAATATATCCACATAATCTTCCTTCCTCATGATGCCATCTATTTTGTGAAGTGCACCAGTCCCTCCTGCAGCAAAGCACCCCCACAGCATGATGCTGCCACCCCCGTGCTTCACTGTTGGGATGGTGTTCTTCGGCTTGCAAGCTACACTCTTTTTCCTCCAAACATAACAATGGTCATTATGGCCAAACAGTTCTATTTTTGTTTAATCAGACCAGAGGACATTTCTCAAAAAAGTACGATCTTTGTCCCCATGTGCAGTTGCAAACCGTAGTCTGGTTTTTTTATGGCGGTTTTGGAGCAGTGGCTTCTTCCTTGCTGAGCGGCCTTTCAGGTTATGTCGATATAGGACTAGTTTTACTGTGAATATACAGTGAGGGAAAAAAGTATTTGATCCCCTGCTGATTTTGTACATTTGCCCACTGACAAAGAAATGATCAGTCTATAATTTTAATGGTAGGTTTATTTGAACAGTGAGAGACAGAATAACAACAACAAAATCCAGAAAAACACATGTCAAAAATGTTATAAATTGATTTGCATTTTAATGAGGGAAATAAGTATTTGACCCCTCTCCAAAACATGACTTAGTACTTGGTGGCAAAACCCTTGTTGGCAATCAGAGGTCAGACGTTTCTTGTAGTTGGCCACCAGGTTTGCACACATCTCAGGAGGGATTTTGTCCCACTCCTCTTTGCAGATCTTCTCCAAGTCATTAAGGTTTCGAGGCTGACATATGGAATCATGTAGTAACCAAAAAAGTGTTTAACAAATCAAAATATATTTTATATTTGAGATTCTTCAAATAGCCACCCTTTGCCTTGATGACAGCTTTGCACACTCCTGGCATTCTCTCAGACAGCTTCACCTGGAATGCTTTTCCAACAGTCTTGAAGTAGTTCCCACATGCTGAGCACTTGTTGGCTGCTTTTCCTTCACTCTGCGGTCCAACTCATCCCAAACCATCTCAATTTGGTTGAGGTCGGGGGATTGTGGAGGCCAGGCCATCTGATGCAGCACTCCATCACTCTCCTTTGTAAAATAGCCCTTACACAGCCTGGAGGTGTGTTGGGTCATTGTCCTGTTGAAAAACAAATGATAGTCCCACTAAGCCCAAACCAGATGGGATGGCGTATCGCTGCAGAATGCTGTGGTAGCCATGCTGGTTAAGTGTGACTTGAATTATGAATAAATCACAGACAGTGTCTCCAGCAAAGCACCCCCACACCATAACACCTCCTCCTCCATGCTTTACGGTGGGAAATATACATGCGGAGATCATCCCTTCACCCACACCGCGTCTCACAAAGACATGGCGGTTGGAACCAAAAATCTCACATTTGGACTCCAGACCAAAGGCCAAATTTCCACTGGTCTAATGTCCATTGCTCGTGTTTCTTGGCCCAAGCAGGTCTCTTCTTCTTATTGGTGGCCTTTAGTAGTGGTTTCTTTGCAGCAATTCGACCATGAAGGCCTGATTCACACAGTCCCCTCTGAACAGTTGATGTTGAGATGTGTCTGTTACCAGCCAATTTCTGAGGCTGGTAACTCTAATGAACTTATCCTCTGCAGCAGAGGTAACTCTGGGTCTTCCATTCCTGTGGCGGTCCTCATGAGAGACAGTTTCATCATAGCGCTTGATGGTTTTTGCGACTGCACTTGAAGAAACTTTCACATTTCTTGAAATGTTCCGTATTGACTGACCTTCATGTCTTAAAGTAATGATGGACTGTCGTTTCTCTTTGCTTATTTGAGCAGTTCTTGCTATAATATGGTATTTTACCAAATAGGGCTATCTTCTGTATACCCCCCCCCCTACCTTGTCACAACACAACTGATTGGCTCAAACGCATTAAGAAGGAAAGAAATTCCACAAACTTTTAGGAAGGCACACCTGTTAATTGAAATTCATTCCAGGTGACTACCTCATGAAGCTGGTTGAGAGAATGCCAAGTGTGTGCAAAGCTGTCATCAAGGCAAAGGGTGACTATTTGAAGAATCTCATATAAAATATATTTTGATTTGTTTAACACTTTTTTGGTTACTACATGATTCCATAGGTGTTATTTCATAGTTTTGATGTCTTCACTATTATTCTACAATGTAGAAAATAGTAAAAATAAAGAAAAACCCTTGAATGAGTAGGTGCTCTAAAACTTTTGACCTGTAGTGTATATGTAGCAGAAAAGCTGTAAAAAACAAAAAAATATATTTGTCCTCGGAAGATGGGTGGGGTGGTGGATGGGTTAATAATAAAATAAATATAAATAAAAATAAGGGATATTCAGCATGTTTCCCCCCCCCTTTTTTTTCACATCTACCAATTGATGCCCTTCTTTGCAAGGCATTGGAAAACCTCCCTGGTCTTTGTGGCTGAAAATGTGCTTGAAATTCAATATTCGATGTCCAGACACAGATGCTGTTGATGGTTGTTTCTCTAGAAGCGTTGCATGACTCACACACTCACGTTCAGTGGTTGACTGACTACCATAAACTGTAGTACTATGGATCCATCATTAGGTGTCGTGTTAGTGTTGTCATAAACAATTATCAGTCTTACTGCACTGTCGTGCCTAAACATTACAGGACCTTACAGATAATTTTATGTTCGGGGTACAAAGATGGGGTAGTCATTCAAAAATCATGTTAACCTCTATTATTGAACATGGAATGAGTCTATACAATTTATGCTATTTGTTAAGCACATTTTTACTCCTGAACTTATTCATGCTTGCCATATCAAAGGGGTTGAATACTTATTGATGGAAGACATTTCAGCTTTTAATTTTTTATGAATTTCAAAAATGTTCTACAAACAAAATTCCACTTTGACATTAGGGGCTATTGTGTGTAGATCAGTGACACAAAATCTCAATTTAATCAATTTTAAATTCAGGCTGTAACAACAACATTTTGAAAAAGTAAAGGGGTGTCTACTTTCTGAAGGCACTGTAAATCAGCTCAAGGCCAGTCTTACATGCAAAAACATGCATCATGTCAAGGATGTGGGCTAGAAAAAATATATATATATTGCTTGAGGCAGTATCCTTGTAAGATCATGTTCACCTCAATTCACCAACGCTTTTCTTCAACCCACCTTGGTCGCAATAAATTAAAAGGTTTGCATCTTGGACAGGGATCTTGGTTCGGGTTTTTGAAATTGTGTGACATTGCCTCGTCGAAAAAATGTGTTCTCACCATGAAAAGGCTGAACGCATACATAATTAGAACCATCTCTCATAATTGTCATTTCTGAGACAATAAATGTCTTCCATGAATTTGTTTTATTCAGATTCATATGAGGGCTGGGAGCTGATTTGACAATTTAGTCAAATTAGACAGGTAGTAAGGTTTTCTCTCTACAGTCCAATATGTATCCATCCCATTACAGTGTATTGCGTTAGGCTATGGAGGGGGAGGAGTAAAAAGCCAGCAGCACTTCCTGTGACATATTTGGTTAGTAGATACCCTACTGAATATTTTCCACCCCAGTTTTATTTGAGACAGGAAGTACATTTTTTCTCTACAGTCCAATATGTATTCCATATACAGTGAATTGCATTGGGGGCTATGGAGGGGGCAGATTAAAAAGACAGCAACACTTCCTATGACCTAGCTTTTTGTTCAAACTCATCTGTTTTGTATGCTAGGGACTATAGTGAGTAGACAGGAGCCTGGTTTTATGGAGACACAATCAATAGTTTTTCCTGTACAGTGCAATTCTTAGTTTATTTGACTTTGGAACATGTTTTGAAACCCACATTTAATGCAAATGTCATTTAAATATGAATCATTATTCATCTTTAGACAATTATGTTTAATATATTATGAATAAATACAGGTTATTGACACTTTTTTACTATTACGTGGGGGACTTTAATTAGAAAATGTCCGAAATTCCGTGGCCCGGAAATGCTTTTTTAGTGTTGCTAACGAGACGCTGGTCATGATGACAGTTCCCGCACAATGCAGCAGGAAGTTAGCCATAGCTAGCTACATGTCCTACCTAACTCCAGTAGCTTATGGATAACTACAAATATGCCACCCCCACAGACATTTCTCTGTGCATCTTGTCTCTCCACTTAACGTTAAGTCACACCAGACAACTGAAACTGTGTTGAGGTGATTGAAAATGCCATCCATCTCGGCCGATGTGTGGTCTGGGGTGTGCATTGTTGGACAAGACTATGGTGGAAATATTTAGATGTAACACAGGAAGCAAACGTATTTCCAGATTTTCCCCACCCCTATAATTTTCTGTAGGTTTATGGTGCTTTCAAGACAACTGGGAACTCGGATAAAAACGAGGTCGAATCATGACGTCAGTGATCTTCAGGTCATTAAGTCGGGGCTCTAGAAAGAGGCCCGAGTTCCCGAATTGGAATTCCGAGTTGGATGACCGTTCAAACGAATTTTCCCAGTCGGAGCTCGTTTTTTCCCGAGTTCCCAGTTGTTTTCAATGCACTGAAGTAGGAAATCGGAGATTTCCCAGTTTCGAGTTACCAGTTGTTTTGAACGCGGCATTGCTTGGCTGGCAGTCTTCGGATGTGACGGTTACAAAACAATTGGAATTGAGCTGAAAGTATTTGCACAACGGATTGAGATGTCGAATAAATAACATGAGGACTCCAAAAGGTCACCACGCCTTCAGGTTTGTGTTTTTGTTATGTTTGGACCTGAAGGTATGCACTGCGTGTGCTATCACAATTGGATACTCTCTGGGTAGCTAGCTAATATTACATCTGTCTAACAACTTGAAAATCTAGTGACCAGTCAGTCAACAACCAGGCTGCAGCAGGCACTTTTCCATAGCTGCCAAATCTGTTGCGTTATTGTCAGTATGTGTCATCTACAGCTGAGGACATTGCTTTTTGTAGCGTGGGTGTTGGGCTACATCGCCTTTCTGCTCGCAACTAGAAAGATGTGGACGGGGAAATACGTGCGCAGTCCACTCGCTCGTTCACTTTTCATGAACATGGTGAGCGAAAGCGAAGAAGCCGGACAAGAAACCCAGGAGGTAAGTGGTTAGCTACAGAGTTACCTTTAAACAAATAAACAACTCGATTTGCTGTCAGAGTATATCACACTTCTCCCTGACATGATTTTGCTTAAGTGAGCATTTTAAAGGCACGATTGTGCATTCAGCAAGAACCAGCTACTGTATTTCCTTGGTTGCCAGGTGGAATAGAAGTCATATTTCCTTCTCACTCAAATATTCAAGAGTTTTTCATATTATGAAGAGATTGATACAAAGACCGGATAAACCAGTGTTGTGGTAATGAGTAGTTGTCATCACTGTCTCTCGCACTCACCCACTTCTCCTCCTCCTTTCCCCTCCCTCCCTGCTCCTCAGTGGTACAGGTGTTCTCCAGACATGTTGGGGGAGGTGGTTAGGCCTCTGTTTGTGCAGAGCCATCTGGACCAGGACACCCAGGCTTTTCTGAGACGCAGCATAGAAAAGTCTGGCTGGATGTTCACCCAGTTCTACCACTCCTTCATCTCCACTGTCCTCAGCCCCCTTGTGTCACGCACGTCCATCAATGGGTAAGTAAAGACAGCGTTTTAATGCTGTCATTATCTCTGTCTTTCTCATGCCCTCCTGTCTTCGTCTCTACTTGCTCTCTTCTCACCCTTTTCAATATTTTTTTGCCAGGTACTCATTCTTCTCTTTTCTTCTCTCCCAGGTTCCTAGGTCGTGGCTCTATGTTTGTGTTCTCTGCGGACCAGCTCCAGCAGCTGCTCCGCGTCGGCCCCGAGTGGCGAGGGGAGAGACTGCTGGACCTAGGGGCCGGGGACGGGGGCGTCACCGAGGTGATGGGAGCCCACTTCAGAGAGGTCTACGCCACTGAGGTTTCTCCTCCCATGAAGTGGCACCTCCAGAGGAAGAAGTACAGGTAAGTGATACACACACACATACACACCACACACACACCACACAGTCTCTGATGTCCTCTTCTTTCTCGTAGGCTTTTAGGTATTGATGAGTGGCAGCATACTGGGTTCCAGTATGACCTGATCAGCTGTCTGAACCTGCTGGACCGCTGTGACGACCCCCTGGATCTCCTCAGGGGCATCCACCGCTCGCTGGTGCCCAGCACGGGAAGACTCATCCTGGCCGCTGTCCTGCCCTTCCAGCCCTGGGTGGAGATAGGTGAGATGGAGCACAGATCAGTGATACAGGATGAAGACTTAGGGCCATGTCCTTACTTGAGACTTTCAGCTAAATCATATGTTGATGTCAATGAGATATTTGTGTGAATGTGCATGGAACAGCTTTCATCCTTTCGGGCTGAATAGTTACAGTATTTAAAATAAAAGATATGGGGACAGGTAGAATACTTTTATTGTTGTTTCAGCTGCCACAAGGCCTTTTCTAGACTAGTCTCCTGAATCTGAGTGTTTGTTCTGTCTCTAGGTGGGAAGTGGCAGCGCCCCAGAGAGCACATCAAAGTGAAGGGGAAGAAGTGGGAGGAGCAAGTCACCAACCTGTCCAATGAGGTGTTCCGGGAAGTGGGGTTTGAGGTGGAGGCAGTGACTCGGCTGCCGTACCTGTGTGAGGGAGACATGTACAAAGATTACTATGTACTGGACGATGCTGTCTTCGTCCTGAAACCTGTGGAGGAGTGAAGTCAGTTACTGTATCTTGGGGTGCATCTCAATTATCCAAATGTGCATCCTTTCCTTGTCTCCTTCCTTCATCTGCACTAATCTTAAAACGAACGACCGTCCTTCCAACGGGACTGGACCATAGAGAATGGGCTGGTTCGACATTGCAGCCGACAGTACAGGCGACTGCTGACTGACTGATCTACAACTCAATTAGCATCATAAATAACTACTCATTATTTGTAGATCGGTCGGTCAGTCACCAATTACCCACAATGCATCATGGATTTGATGCTCTCAAATACGGCCAATGATAAAGTCGTCTAGGGGCCAAAAGGCTGTATTAGAATGAGCAGCGCCATTGAGGGCTTCCACCATTTTAATGTAGTCAACTGGGTGGGACTTCCAAATTCATTGACTGATCCCTCCTGGTGACCCTGTTGGGAGTCATGTCCAACTGGGTCATTCATTAGTAGGGATCAGCCAATCGTGAAGAAAATGTACTACTTCAAAATGGAGATGGCCTCAATGGCGCTGTCACAGATGCTATAATGGCACAGATACAAAGATGAGTCCGCTATCTCTATGGACTGGACAAGGTTTTGCCATGTTGTTTTTACTCATCCTGTGTTTTCAGATGAGTGCAGACCGAGGAGAGGAAGCCACTTTAGACTATAGTGATGCATCCGCTGACCTTTCCTAGAGCATCTGTGTACAGTAGATACAGTAGAAGGCTTCATCTGACTGGCTGCTGGATTTGTATTGAATTAGTGGAGGTTAAGCAAGATATTTTCTTAATTACTATTGAGAGGATTTCTCATTTACATTGCCACTTTAATTGGCTCTTTAAAGTCAGCTGGTGAATCCTGGTTTGAAATTTGGGTAGTGCCACTGTTTACCAACCGTCATGTGTCATACTGTGTCATACCTTTACATTCTAAGCAACAAAAAAAATAAAAATGGAAGTTTGCCATTGAATATAATAACTTGATTTGAATATAACATATCATAACTCTGTAAATGATAGGGAGGGAGGATCTCATCTTCTGTGCCAACATATCACTGTGGAAATTGACTGTTCTTGGTTGAAGTATAGTGATGTAAATGTATTGTCTTAGGTTGGGTTGATTGGTCATTTTTCCAACAATAACATTGTTGGACATAACCGGCTGATCTCATTGATTTAGTCAAGCACAGATGGAGGGAATTCTTTCCCTGTCTAGTTGTCTTAAGGTTTAATTATAAGCACACTGTTTCTAACTGTTGTATTATCAACTGGGCAGTAACGTTCTGTTACAATGAAATCTGGATTGATTACTTATAGCAATGTGAGGCATTGTCAGTGAATATCTCCCATCTACAGTTTTATAGGCAGCAGAACAAGTTTACTTTAATAATGTTCCACTCAGTGTATTTTACTTAAAGTAATATCACCTCAACAAATAAAATATTTTTCTGTGACTTATTTAATTATTGACCTTCATATTCAATAGTAGTTAACTTGTTTTATCTTTAAAGTGCAGTAAAAGTTTGAGATGACGTGTATGTGCAGTATGTATCAGAAAGGATGTAATTTGCATGAAGGATGTCTTGGATGCCAGTGTCATGTATTATGTGCATTTGAGTGACTCTTGTGAGTCTATTTAAACTTTTATTTGAATATACTCTCCAATGTAGTTGTTCATTCCAATGTCAAATTCTCAGATTAGTCTGTAGTTTAGTTTTTTAAATAAATATAGTAGAATGAATAGAAATTCAATTTCTGTGATCACGGACGTGCCCCTCATACGGGCGTGTCCCATTCTGTAACGTCAACTTTTTCCCGGCTTGCATTTGGGCGCCGCTATAGTTGGCCACGTCTCCTGGCCACGTCGCGCATTACTTGACATTTTCCCATTCAGACCGAGAAAAACGTCGATTTAGGTGCCAGACAGAACCTCTTATAAGGTTTAAAACCGGTCAGTAACGGAGGCTAGAAGGTTGTATTTGTTTTGACGGGTATAAATTCGTGCTAACGGAGGCAACGCCGCCTGCAGCACCCAGCAGAATCATGAATATTTTCAGATTCACTGGCGATCTTTCCCATTTAGCAGCCATCATCATCCTACTGCTAAAAATATGGAAAACCAGGTCGTGTGCCGGTGAGTAAGATTCACATTTGGACTATTTGCAAGTTGCATACATCTCCGATTTCCATCTCCATTCCAGCTAGCAAAATTTCCTTGCTGTGCAGTGGATTATTGTGTTGACAAGTTAGCTACTAGCTAGGTAACGACGTTAGCGCTTGTGGCTTTATCAACCAGATTGTTAGCGTTGATGTTAGCACGGCCTAGTTAACAATGTTGGGAAAGGCCAAAATACACCTAACTAAATTAAATGCACCTAAATCCCAGTGATCATGACACATTTGGTTGGTTCGTGTTTGAATACAATGTTGGTTACATTCAAACTAACTAGTTGTCTTAAATTGAGTCTCCCATTCATTTACTGACCAGGCAGTGATGTGAGGCAACAGATCTGGGCACGTCAGTTTGGGGGCACCCATCAGTGCAGCGGGCGAATGCGCCACTAACCGGTTTCCGTGTGTGATATGTCATGCATCATCATCCCTGTTGTAGTACTGAAACCTGTTAGTTTATTTTGCGTTCAAAGCAACTGGGAACTCGGAAACAAACGAGCTCCGACTGGGAAAAATCGATTTGAATGGTCATCCAACTCGGAATTCCAACTCGACAACTTGGGCCTCTTTTTAGAGTGCCGACCCGAAGATCACAGACTTCATGATTTGACCTCGTATTTTACCGAGTACAGTTATTTTGAACGCCCATGCCGATGCTACCCTGGCCTGACCTCTGACATGGCAGCGCTGTCACTGAACGCTGATAAGAGAAATAGCTGTCGAATGCACAGCTAGAGCAGAACATTGTGACTTGACCTTATACAAAATGAAATTGGTTCAATTCCAATGTCCCCTGGGAATACAATGTTTGTTGCAGTCTGTTGTGTAAACTGGTTTGGGGTTAAAGGTCAGGTTTAGGATGTATTATCTGAGCTGTCAGAGGAGGCACTGATACCTGTCATGGATCAACAACTTCAGTAGGCAGGTGGCCCACACAAGAGTTTGGATTTGTGAAACCAATTCCAGTCAGGCAAAAATCAGTTTATGCTCAGGTATTGAGCCTGTCATTAGGAACATTATAATCACACCACTGCAAGCACTGAAGTTGAATACATTCTTTAGTATACTCTAGACTAGCAATGTTATTAATGTATTGTGAGCTTCTTGATTACAAGTGGGTGTGAGGAGACATCTTGCCACTTGACAGTGTTTGCAGGCAGGCCTTCTGAGGGGCAGCTGTGAGTATCTATGCCTGTTTAGATTGCCTGTAATAAAACGCCTTGGAAGTCTTACAGTTCTTATCACAGTCATCACTATCTGGCCATGCTAGAGAGGACAGAAGCCTGGTGCAGGGCCTAACTGGGTTAGCATGTGAAATGGGATAAAATTAGCTTGCCAGGTTTGATTTCCTACCAAGAGGCCACCACAGAGTTCGGGAGAGTAGAGCAACCTCTGACGTCTCATACACCTGTTGGTTGGTTGTTTCTCTCTGAAAGGTATCTCCGGGAAGAGTCAGATCCTGTTCGCCTTGGTGTTCACCACACGCTACCTGGACCTGCTCACCTCCTTCATCTCCCTCTACAACACCACCATGAAGGTGAGACACACACCATGGACCCCCTCACCCCCATGAGGGTGGCAGGCTCATCCTCTTACAGCTCTTTGTCCAAGTAACACTAACTCCAAAAAGTTTTGGGACACTGTAAAGTCCATGGAGAATAAGAGCACCTCCTCCCAGCTACCCACTGCACTGAGGCTAGGAAACACTGTCACCACCGATAAATCTACGATAATCGAGAATTTTTAATAAGCATTTTGCTACGGCTGGCCATGCTTTCCACCTGGCTACCCCTACCCCGGCCACCAGCTCTGCACCCTCCGCTGCAACTTGCCCATGCCCCCCCCCGCTTCTCCTTCACCCAAATTCAGATAGCTGATGTCCTGAAAGAGCTGCAAAATCTGGACCCCTACAAATTAGCTGGGCTAGACAATCTGGACCCTTTCTTTCTAAAATTAGCTGCCGAAATTGTCACAACCCCTATTACTAGCCTGTTCAACCTCTCTTTCATAACGTCTGAGATCCCCAGAGATTGGAAAGCTGCCGCGGTCATCCCCCTCTTCAAAGGGGGTGAAACTCTAGATCCAAACTGTTACAGACCTATATCCATCCTGCCCTGCCTTTCGAAAGTATTTGAAAGCCAAGTTAACAAACAGATCACCGACCATTTCGAATCCCACCGTACCTTCTCCGATATGCAATCTGGTTTCCGAGCTGGTCATCGGTGCACCTCAGCCACGCTCAAGGTCCTAAACGATATAATAACCGTGATCGATAAAAGACAGTACTGTGCAGCCGTCTTCATCGATCTGGCCAAGGCTTTTGACTCTGTCAATCACTGCATTCTTATTGGCATACTAAATAGCCTTGGTTTCTCAAATGACTTCCTCGCCTGGTTCACCAACAACTTCTCAGATAGAGTTCAATGTGTCAAATCGGAGGGCCTGTTGTCTGGGCCTCTGGCAGTCTCTATGGGGGTGCCACAGGGTTCAATTCTCGGGCCGACTCTATTCTCTGTGTATATCAATGATGTCGCTCTTGCTGCTGGTGACTCTCAGATCCACCTCTACGCAGACGACACCATTTTGTATACATCTGGCCCTTCATTGGACACTGTGTTAACAAACCTCCAAACGAGCTTCAATGCCATACAACACTCCTTCGGTGGCCTCCAACTGCTCTTAAACGCTAGTAAAACTAAATGCATGCTCTTCAATCGAACGCTGCTTGCACCCGCCCGCCCGACTAGAATCACTACTCTCGGCGGGTCTGACTTAGAATATGTGGACAACTACAAATACCTAGGTGTCTGGTTAGACCGTAAACTCTCCTTGCAGACTCACATTAAGCATCTCCAATCCAAAGTTAAATCTAGAATCGGCTTCCTATTTCGCAACAAAGCCTCCTTCACTCATGCTGCTAAACATGCCCTCGTAAAAGTGACTATCCTTGACTTCGGCGATGTCATTTACAAAATACAGTGGGGAAAAAAGGATTTAGTCAGCCACCAATTGTGCAAGTTCTCCCACTTAAAAAGATGAGAGAGGCCTGTAATTTTCATCATAGGTACACGTCAACTATGACAGACAAAATGAGAGAAAAAAATCCAGAAAATCACATTGTAGGATTTTTAATGAATTTATTTGCAAATTATGGTGGAAAATAAGTATTTGGTCAATAACAAAAGTTTCTCAATACTTTGTTATATACCCTTTGTTGGCAATGACACAGGTCAAACGTTTTCTGTAAGTCTTCACAAGGTTTTCACACACTGTTGCTGGTATTTTGGCCCATTCCTCCATGCAGATGTCCTCTAGAGCAGTGATGTTTTGGGGCTGTCGCTGGGCAACACGGACTTTCAACTCCCTCCAAAGATTTTCTATGGGGTTGAGATCTGGAGACTGGCTAGGCCACTCCAGGACCTTGAAATGCTTCTTACGAAGCCACTCCTTCGTTGCCCGGGCGGTGTGTTTGGGATCATTGTCATGCTGAAAGACCCAGCCACGTTTCATCTTCAATGCCCTTGCTGATGGAAGGAGGTTTTCACTCAAAATCTCACGATACGTGGCCCCATTCATTCTTTCCTTTACACGGATCAGTCGTCGTGGTCCCTTTGCAGAAAAACAGCCCCAAAGCATGATGTTTCCACCCCCATGCTTCACAGTAGGTATGGTGTTCTTTGGATGCAACTCAGCATTCTTTGTCCTCCAAACACGACGAGTTGAGTTTTTACCAAAAAGTTATATTTTGGTTTCATCTGACCATATGACATTCTCCCAATCCTCTTCTGGATCATCTTAATGCATTCTAGCAAACTTCAGACGGGCCTGGACATGTACTGGCTTAAGCAGGGGGACACATCTGGCACTGCAGAATTTGAGTCCCTGGCGGCGTAGTGTGTTACTGATGGTAGGCTTTGTTACTTTGGTCCCAGCTCTCTGCAGGTCATTCACTAGGTCCCCCCGTGTGGTTCTGGGATTTTTGCTCACCGTTCTTGTGATCATTTTGACCCCACGGGGTGAGATCTTACGTGGAGCCCCAGATCGAGGGAGATTATCAGTGGTCTTGTATGTCTTCCATTTCCTAATAATTGCTCCCACAGTTGATTTCTTCAAACCAAGCTGCTTACCTATTGCAGATTCAGTCTTCCCAGCCTGGTGCAGGACTACAATTTTGTTTCTGGTGTCCTTTGACAGCTCTTTGGTCTTGGCCATAGTGGAGTTTGGAGTGTGACTGTTTGAGGTTGTGGACAGGTGTCTTTTATACTGATAAGTTCAAACAGGTGCCATTAATACAGGTAACGAGTGGAGGACAGAGGAGCCTCTTAAAGAAGAAGTTACAGGTCTGTGAGAGCCAGAAATCTTGCTTGTTTGTAGGTGACCAAATACTTATTTTCCACCATAATTTGCAAATAAATTCATTAAAAGTCCTACAATGTGATTTTCTGGATTTTCTTTTTTTTTTCTCAATTTGTCTGTCATAGTTGACGTGTACCTATGATGAAAATTACAGGCCTCTCTCATCTTTTTAAGTGGGAGAACTTGCACAATTGGTGGCTGACTAAATACTTTTTTCCCCCACTGTAGCTTCCAACACTCTACTGAGCAAATTGGATGTAGTCTATCACAGTGCCATCCGTTTTTATACTACCCACCATTGTGACCTGTACGCTCTCGTTGGCTGGCCCTCACTACATATTCGTCGCCAAACGCACTGGCTCCAGGTCATCTATAAATCACTTCTAGGCAAATTCCTGCCTTGTCTTAGCTCATTGGTCACCATAGCAACACCCACCCGTAGTATGCGTTCCAGCATGAAATATCTCACTGGTCATCCCCAAAGCCAACACCTCCTTTGGCCACCATTGCTTCCAGTTCTCTGCTGCAAATGACTGGAACGAACTGCAAAAATCTCTGAAGCTGGAGACTCTTATCTCCCTCACTAACTTTAAGCATCAGTTGTCAGAGCAGCTTACTGATCACTGCACCTGTACACAGCCCATCTGTAATTAGCCCACCCAACTACCTCATCCCCATATTGTTATTTACATTGTTATTTATTTTGCTCATTTGCACCCCAGTATCTCTATTTGCACATCATCTTCTGCACATCTATCACTCCAGTGTTAATACTAAATTGTAATTATTTTGCACTATGGCCTATTTATTGCCTTACCTCCATAACTTACTACATTTGCACACACTGTATATAGATTTTCTATTGTGTTATTGACTGTACGTTTTGTTTATTCCATATGTAACTCTGTGTTTTCTTTTTTTTTTTTCCGCACTGCTTTGCTTTATCTTGACCAGGTCGCAGTTGTAAATGAGCACTTGTTCTCAACTGGCTTACCTGGTTAAATAAAGGTTAAATAAATAAAATAAAATAAAAACTAACACACCCCAACCATGCTCTGTAGTAGTGATCTACTCACAAGTCAATACAAGTGCCGTTAAGTTGACACACCCTTGTATGTCCAAGGTTCATTGGTGTGTGTGAGTGGGTGTGTCCAAAGCGTGTACCTCTAACTATGGATACCGCTAGTTAGTACATTTAAAACCCAACAAGCAGCTAATTTGTTAACTTTCTCGTCTGTCTGTGATTGAGGTTGCTTTTAGTAAGGTATCTACAGTGCCTTTAGAAAGTATTCAAACCCCTTCATTTATTCTACATTTTGTTGTTACAGCCTGAATTCAAAATGCATAAAATATATATATATATATTTTTCTCACCCATCTACACACAATACCGCAAGACAGTGAAAACATGTTTTTAGAAATGTATTAAATGAAATACAGAAATATCTCATTTACATAAGTATTGACACCCATTTGATATGACACTCCAAATTGAGTTCCGGTGCATCCAATTTCCTTCGATCATCCTTGTTGTGGCTACAACTTGATTGGAGTCCACCTGTGGCCAATTCAATTGTTTGGACATGATTTCGAAAGAAACACACCTGTCTATATAAGGTCCCACAGTTGACAGTGCATGTCAGAGCAGAAACTATACCATGAGGTCGAAGGAACAGTCCGTAGATTTCCAAGATATAATTGTGATGAGGCGTATATCTGGGGAAGGGTATAAAACCATTTCTAGAGTGTTGAAAGTTTCCACAGTGGTCTCCATAATTGGGAAATGGAAAAACCATAACTACCCAGACTCTGCCTAGAGCTGGCCGTCCGACCAAACTGAGCACCGGGCAAGAAGGACCATGGTAAGGGAGGTGACCAAGAACCCAATGACCACTCTGACAGAACTACATAGTTCCTTGGCTGAGATGGAAGAACCTGCCAGAAGGACAACAATCTCTACAGCACTTCACCAATCTGGGCTTTGAGAGAGTGGCCAAACGGAAGCCACTCCTGAGAAAAAGGCACATGGCAGCATGCCTGGAGTTTGCAAAAAGGCACGTGAAAGACTGAGAGCATAAGTCAAAATATTCTGTGGTCTGATGAGACAGAAATTGAACTGTTTGGCCTGAATGCAAAGTGCTATGTCTGGAGAAAACCAGGCACAGCTCATCACCCGTCTAACACTATCCCTACCGTGAAGCATGGAGGCAGCATCATGCTATGGGGATGCTTTTCAGCGGCAGAGACTAGGAGCCAAAAACAGGCAAATCTTTGAGAACCTGCTTCAGAGTGCAAACGACCTTAGACCTGACAATGACCCCAAGCATGCAGCCAAAGCAATGCTGGAATGGCTTCAGAACATGAATGTGAAAGTGGCCCAGCCAAAGCCCAGACGTGAATCCTATTGAAAATCTGTGGAAAGACTTGAAGATTGCTATTCACCGCAGCTCCACATCTAACTTAACAGAGCTTGAGAAAATCTCCAAGGAAGAATGGGAGAAAATCCCCAAATCCAGATGTGCAAAGCTGATAGACATACCCATGACGACTCAAAGCTGTAATCGCCGCCAAAGGTGCTTTTACAAAGTATTGACTCGGGGGTGAATTCTTATGTAAATTTAGATATTTATGCATTTCTATTTCAATAAAGTTGCTAACATTTCTAAAAACATTTTCACTTTGTCATAATGTGGTTATTGTGTGTAGATGGATGAGAAAAAAATAATATTTTAATACATTTTGAATTCAGTCTTTAACACAATGTGGAATAAGTCAATGGGTATGAATACTTTCTGAAGACACTGTGGTTAACTCAGGGGTCTGCAACCTTTTCTAGCATTTACTACTTTAACCTGTCGCAAGCTACAATTTTTTCTATATATATATATATTTTTTTTATAGCTTTCAAATTGGCACATTCTTCTCCTCTAACCTGCAACTCTTCCCCGGGTCCTTGGTGTACAAGAGATGTTTTCTGGCAATATACCTGCTAAATACTCTAAGGGGAACCAATAACATGATTATTTTCCCGAATTCAGTGTCCTGTTTTATTTTCCTGTTTTGGGATTTATTTCGGTACTCAATGTTACAATTATTCATAGAGAAACAATGAACATGTACAGTTGAAGTCTGAAGTTTACATACACCTTAGCCAAATACATTAAAACTCGGTTTTTCACAATTCCTGACATTTAATCCTAGTAGAAATTCCCTGTCTTAGGTCAGTTAGGATCACCACTTTATTTTAAGAATGTGAAATGTCAGAATAATAGTTAAAAAAATAATTTCTTTCAGCTTTTATTTCTTTCATCACATTCCCAGTGGGTCAGAAGTTTACTTACACTCAATTAGTATTTAGTAGCATTGCCTTTAAATTGTTTAACTTGGGTCAAACGTTTCGGGTAGCCTTACACAAGCTTCCCACAATAAGTTGGGTGAATTTTGGCCCATTCCTCCTGACAGAGCTGGTGTAACTGAGTCAGGTTTGTAGGCCTCCTTGCTCACACACGCTTTTTCAGTTCTGGCCACCAATTTTCTATAGGATTGAGGCCATTTGCGACAAAGCTTTAACTTCCTGACTGATGTCTTGAGATGTTGCTTCAATATATCCACATCATTTTCCTTCCTCATGATGCCATCTATTTTGTGAAGTGCACCAGTCCCTCCTGCAGTAAAGCACCCCCACAGCATGATGCTGCCACCCCGTGCTTCATGGTTGGGATGGTGTTCTTCGGCTTGCAAGCAACCCCCTTTTTCCTCCAAACATAACGATGGTCATTATGGCCAAACAGTTCTATTTTTGTTTCATCAGACCAGAGGACATTTCTCCCAAAAGTACGATCTTTGTCCCCATGTGCAGTTGCAAACCGTAGTCTGGCTTTTTTATGGCGGTTTTGGAGCAGTGGCTTCTTCCTTGCTGAGCGGCCTTTCAGGTTATGTCGATATAGGACTCGTTTTATTGTGGATATAGATATATTTGTACCTGTTTCCTCCAGCATCTTCACAAGGTCCTTTTGCTGTTGTTCTGGGATTGATTTGCACTTTTCGCACCAAAGTACGTTCATCTCTAGGAGACAGAACGTGTCTCCTTCCTGAGCGATATGACGGCTGCGTGGTCCTATGGTGTTTATACTTGCGTACTATTGTTTGTACAGATGAACGTGGTACCTTCAGGCATTTGGAAATTGCTCCCAAGGATGAACCAGACTTTTGGAGGTCTACAATTTTTTTTCTGAGGTCTTGGCTGATTTTTTTGGGAGGGATTTTCCCATGATGTCAAGCAAAGAGGCACTGAGTTTGAAGTTAGGCCTTGAAATACATCCACAGGTACACCTCCAATTGACTCAAATGATGTCAATTAGCCTATCAGAAGCTTCTAAAGCCATGACATCATTTTCTGGAATTTTCCAAGCTGTTTAAAGGCACAGTCAACTTAGTGTATGTAAACTTCTGACCCACTGGAATTGTGATACAGTGAATCGTAAATGAAATAATCTGTCTGTAAACAATGTAGATGTCCTAACCGACTTGCCAAATCTATAGTTTGTTAACAAGAAATGTATGGAGTGATTGAAAAACAAGTTTTAATTACTCCAACCTAAGTGTATGTAAACTTCCGACTTCAACTGTATGTGTTCTGAGTCCATGACAATGCTTGAATCGCATCAGAAGACCATTATTGAGGTCTAATTTGATTTTTGTTGTTAGTGTAATTCCTCTTTTAATTGCGCATCTAGCAAGAGAGGAATGTGTAGGTCTAGCAATTTTCTGCTGTTGGCCTACTACTGCAGCACGTCATGGCAGTTTGCAAAACAATGGCCACCCAATTGATACAAATAATCATATAGTCAGGTAAGTCTACTTTGCAGTTAACATTTAATTGAGATTTGAGAAGGTTTTTTGGCAAAGTCATTCTGTCTACCCACAAGATGGTTATCATTAGCATCACTAACTGGCTACATAGACAAACGCGCACACCAAACCGACAGACGGGCAATATTGCTGAACATTTATTGACAGATGTTGTTACATTTGGCTTTTTAAGCCAATAGTGGCTAATCGGGGGTGGGATAATGTCAATGTGGCTTTGATTGGATAGTAGCAGGGAGATTTATTTTTGACAGTTTGCAATGGAACACTTTTAAAAAATGCATGTACAGTGCATTCGGAAGGTATTCAGACCCCTTGACCTTTTCCAGATTTTGTTATGTTACAGCCTTATTCTAAAATGGATTAAATTGTTCCCCCCCCCTCATCAATCTACACACAATACCCCATAATGGCAAAGCATAAACAGGTTTTTTGAAATGTTAGCAAATTTATTAGAAATAAAAAAATGGAAATATCACATTTACATAAGTATTCAGACCCTTTATTCAGTACTTTGTTGAAGCACCTTTGGTAGCGTTTACAGCCTCGAGTCTTCTTGGGTATGACGCTACAAGGTTGGCACACCTGAATTTGAGGAGTTTCTCACATTCTTCTCTGCAGATCCTCTCAAGCTCTGTCTGGTTGGATGGGGAGCGTCGCTGCACAGCTATTTTCAGGTCTCTCCAGAGATGTTCGATCGGGCTCAAGTCCGGGCTAAGGCTGGGCCACTCAAGGACATTCAGAAACCTGTCCCGAAGCCTCTCCTGCGTTGTCTTGGCTGTGTGCTTTGGGTCGGTGTCCTGTTGGAAGGTGAACCTTCGCCCCAGTCTGAGGTCCTGAGCGCTCTGGAGCAGGTTTCATTAAGGATCTCTCTGTACTTTGCTCCGTTCATCTTTTCCCTCGATCCTGACTAGTCTCCCAGTCCCTTCCGCCAAAAAATTTCCCCACAGCATGATGCCAGACGTGACGCTTGGCATGCAGGCCAAAGAGTTCAATCTTGGTTTCATCAGACCAGATAATCTTGTTTCTCATGGTCTGAGAGTCCTTTAGGTGCCTTTTGGAAAACTCCAAGCTGGCTGTCGTGCGTTTTACTGAGGAGTGGCTTCCATTTGGCCACTCTACCATAAAGGCCTGATTGGTGGAGTGCTGCAGAAATGGTTGTGCTTCTGGAAGGTCCTTCCATCTCCACAGAGGAACTCTGGAGCTCTGTCAGAGTGATCATCTGGTTGTTGGTCACCTCCCTGACCAAGGCCCTTCTCCCCCGATTGCTCAGTTTGGACGGGCGGTCAGCTCTAGGAAGAGTCTTGGTGGTTCCAAACTTCTTCCATTTAAGAATGATGGAGGCCACTGTATTATTGGGGACCTTCAATGCTACAGCCATTTTTTGGTACCCTCCCCAGATCTGTGCCTCGACACAATCCTGTCTACGGACAATTCCTTCGACATCATGGCTTGGTTTTTGCTCTGACATGCACTGTCGACTGTGGGACCTTTATATAGACAGGTGTGTGCCTTTCCAAATCATGTCCAATCAATATAATTTACCACAGTTGGTGTCCAATCAAGTTGTAGAAACATCTTAAGGCTGATCGATCAATGGAAACCGTATGTACCTGAGCTTTGTCATTATGGGGTATTGTTCCTCATCAATCTACACAATTTTTTTGTTTAATCCATTTTAGAATAAGGCTGTAACGTAACAAAATGTGGAAAAGTCAAGGGGTCTGAATACTTTCCAAATGCACTGTACTTTCAGAATTGATTGGCGAGCTACTCATAGGTGGGCTGCAAGCTACTGGTAGCTGGGGATCTACCTGTTGGAGACCCCTGGGTTAACCTAACTTGGATTTAAACACACACACACCTACCTACCTTCCAAGCTACAGTAAAGGGATCGTCGAATCAGAGTGCTGTATGTATCGTCTCCCTTGATTGGTGGATTGTATTGTTTCAGGTCATTTACATTGGCTGTGCGTACGCCACCGTGTACCTCATCTACACTAAGTTCAAGGCCACCTACGACGGTAACCATGACACCTTCAGAGTGGAGTTCCTGGTCGTCCCCGTGGGAGGGCTGGCTTTCCTTGTCAACCACGACTTCTCTCCTCTCGAGGTAAGGCCACACACACACACACAGTTGTCTTGGCATGATGAGGGCATACTGCATCAGTGTCTTATACAGCAACTCTCCATCTCCTCTCCCTTCCCATCTCCTCTCCCTCCCCCTCCAGATCCTTTGGACGTTCTCCATCTACCTGGAGTCGGTGGCCATCTTGCCCCAGCTCTTCATGATCAGTAAGACTGGCGAGGCAGAGACCATCACCACCCACTATCTGTTCTTCCTGGGCCTGTACCGGGCTCTCTACCTCATCAACTGGATCTGGCGCTTCTATTTCGAGGGCTTCTTCGACATGATCGCTATCGTGGCCGGTGTCGTTCAGACAATCCTCTATTGCGACTTCTTCTATCTGTATGTAACGAAAGGTGAGTCGAGCTGCAGTCTTCTTCCAACTTATTTCCTAAGTGTGATGCTGTAGTGTCCTTTTATTCACTTATCTTACAGTCGCAGAAACTGTTACACAAAGAGTGCTTGGAGTAATGCCCCATTCACATTGTGACGTATTTCATTACGCCGTATGTCATCTTCATGCAATCTGGTTCCGTTACTGGACGGAGAGCATAGAAACCCCATGTTCTCCATCCAGTAGCGGAAACATATTGCATGAAGATGACACAATGCAAGACAAGATGGAGGACAGCCTAGTCTCTTGTCAGAGATCACATTTATTTTGGGAGATTGCAAAATTGCTTTTTCATTCAATACAGGAGAAATGTATTGTTTCAGGTGATAAGAAAACGTTTATTTTAATAACTTTTTCCTAAACTTGTTTCTCACATTTTCTTGCAAGTCAAGCTATTTTACAGAGCAGCTAGCTAGCTAAAAGCCATTATTTCTAGCTTATTAAGTGGCTAGATAGCTAGCCTACGGTAGCTAAAAGCTAGGTACCATCAAAAAAGTAATTACCATCACAAACTTCAACTGAAGGCAACAGTCATTATATAATTGGTTTAACAGCCAGTGTGTATATTTTAACATTACTATTAAAATAGTACTCACTTATAGGAATGGTTAATTGTTTACAAGCTGCTAGCAATCCCATAAAGCCATCGCTGAAAATCACAGATCTTCATCTTGTTCACCTGTATATAGCTTCTTACTTGTTCTTCTTTTTAATTGAGTGTTTGTTCTACCTTGTTATTGTTAGTACTACATTGATATTGATTACTGCATTGTTGGGTTTATAGCTTGCAAGAAAAGCATTTCGCTGTACTTGTGCACGTGACATTAAAACTTGAAACTTCTGTAGTTTGGTAACTTCCTGTTCTATTGACGGACTTTGGCTGCGTTGAAGTGCACTGATGACGACACAGAGTTTGGAGAAATTTAAAAGTATGCACCATCCGTTTCGCAACGGAGCCTTCAACCGCAAGGCGGCGCTGCGATACCACTCCATTGCATACGGTCCCAATTTAAATGAATGACATCCGGTGCAACGCAACAGACTGCTGAGATGTAATGTGAATGAGGCATTAAGTGTTCTATGGGGTACGTTTGGACGCAAAGCAAAAAAAATTGAAAATGGGGCTGGGTATATCGCGCATGGTGACTTAATGAGGCCGTGCAGCATAAATAAGCTAGCATGAACTTTGACTTGTGATTCGTCAGAGCCTGATAGTACCGTTATCTTACTCCGTTCTATATTGACTGGGAGCTATAATGGTTCAGCATTTGTATACGTTGGCTAACTAACCAGGCACTTTACTCCTACTCTCAATGTGGAAGCCTAGGGTCTTAAAGTCCAGTATATACGATTGGCTTGTCACTGTCAACACTCACCAGGAGCGTCTGGTATCCGTTGTCACAGATGTAAGAAGAAAATGTGCTGAGCTCATCCGTTGAACCTAAACATCTCTCCTCTGTTTCAGTACTGAAAGGAAAGAAGCTAAGTCTGCCAGCCTAAGTGCCAAAGATCAGCGATTTGGCAGACTCGTGGGGGGGGGGGGCAGCAAAGGAAACCATTGACCACCCCCCCTCCCCCTCCCCTCTCCCCTCCCAGTGTAAGATGCGTCAGACAGAGTTAGACTTTTACAGTTTGTCCCGTCTCCTGACCACTATCAGCGACACCCATGGGCCTGTTCAGGGGGCTGCAAACTTAAGGGCTCTCAGATAGAAATGTACTGTGTAGAACAGATACGATTGTTATGTAGAGCTAGAAAATCGTTGTCGGCTCAATTCATTATATTTCTATCTGCAACGCTTTGAACGCTTCACCTCGCTGAATACACCCCAGAACCAACCTGAAGAGGCCATCCGCAGCTTTCGGACTTCTGTTTGATGCATCTTGCCTTACTTTTTTTATTACTCTGTATAAAGGAAGAAAAAAAGTAATCATTTTTCTACATAAAAATGTGTGCTCTCTCTCTCCGATGATTTGGCACATTAGTGAATGAGAGCCGAAAACAAATTGCCTTTGATTTGGCACTGTAAAATATTGGAGCCGGCTTCTTGTGGTGGGATATTGACTAAACCGTTTGTAAGAGTATTTGCAAACTCAATAAATGTACATTGTTTTGTCCTGAATCCCAATGGAGCGGAAGTGTAATACAGGCGTTGTATCCCCTTGGCTTTGGCTGGAAAACCTTGTTTTGAGGATATTGTGTACATTCCTGTATAAAGATGGCCAGTTAAAACTGTTCATTCATTTCCTGGTCAATACTTAATATCTCCCCAAACTGACAAGATAAAATAAAAAACAAATCAATGTGAAGTTGGAATTTACCTGTAACTGTCACCTGCTATTTGAATTAACTGTATATTTTCAGTAGATTTGAGACCTATATCACTCACACCCCCATAGAGATGTTTTCACTGATACAGTAACTGCCGCATCTGCATTGCTGTAAATGGCTTTCATTTAAATTCACATTTACACCAAAACATTTTCTTAGCCCATTGTTTGATGGTGTATCTATATTTAAATATCCAAGTCTAATTTCAAAATGGCTCTTCTAAAAGTGTTGGAAATTAGTTAATAGGCTACCAATGCAGGGATCAGCTCCTGAAACCGTTCATGTTCTATTCAGTTATATATTTAGTGTTACTTTCCTTCTTTCAGTAATGGACAATGTCCATAGAATTGTCTACATGATGTGCATATTGTTGAGCTCACTTTAGAAGAGGTCTAGCTGTTGATCTTTGTGACAAACATGATTCTATGGGCATTGTTGAATTGGAACCAGAATTATTTTCTTATTTTAAAGGCATCTGCCTATAATTTTTGTCCTCACAGGCAGATCATTCCATCTTGTTAGGATTTTTTTTTACTGAGTTTTCTTTTGCATGATGTTGCCACCACAAATAAAGATTTTTATGGGAAACATTTGGCTCTGGCTTTCTGACTTGACTGAATGAGAAGTGAGTGGTGTGACTGTACTTTATTAATCCCAGAAGGATAAATTGGTTAAGTAATCACAACAGCCATAGTAAAAAAAGAAATCTATAGAGATACTCAAAACATTATACATAGTAGGATTGCTAGAGCATGTTCAATTCAGGCAGTGTTATTTGCTACTGGCTACATAAGCTACATATTTTGCAGTTAATTTACAACAATTGAATAACACAATCAGTATATATAGAACATTGACTAATAAGCTGGGTGGCATTTGTCTCGATGAGTCCGCAAACGGTCTCTACGATTGAAAGCTTTCCCGCAATCCATACATTGGTAGGGCTTCTCTCCCGTGTGAGTCTTCATGTGTCTGCTCAACTGATGGGAGGTGCCGAAGGATTTGTCACAGGTGAGACATGGATACGGCTTCTCCCCGGTATGACTTCGCCGGTGTATGGTGAGATAATGGGCTTGAACGAAACCCTTCCCACAGTCCTTGCACTTGAACGGCCGCTCTCCAGTATGGTATCTCATGTGTATCCTCAGTTCAGATGCCGATTTGAAAACCCTTGTACACTCCTTATATGTGCAGGAATAAGGATTCTCCCCTGTGTGAATCAACACGTGTCTTGCCAATGGGGCAGGGCTGTAGAACCCCTTACCGCAGTAGGAGCACGGGTAACGCACCCCTTTGTGGTATACATTCTCATGCATCTTCATTTGACCTTTGTCCCTGAAAACTTTGTTACACTGGGAACAAGGGATGCGTTTCACCTGAGGAGTGTGAACACGATTCATGTGTGATTTCAGAATCCCCTTGGATTGGAAAGTCTTTCCACACTCCCAGCAAAGGCATGGTTTCTCTCCCGTGTGCTTTCTCTGGTGTGTCACAAGAGCAGTTTCAAAATGGAACTTCTTTGGACAATGGGAGCACTTGTATGGGGGCTCCCCGCCAGTGTGAGTCCTCTGGTGTCTGATGAGAGCTGCTAAATCAGCGTAGCTTCTCTCGCAGTAGGTGCAGCGGAACGGCCCGCTGAACTGATGGTCATCCACGTAGTGTCTGGAGAGGTACCTTATCACATTGAAGCTCTTCTCACACATGGTGCATTGAACCGGTTTGTGCTCTACCTTGTGTATTGCAAGCGTTTCTTGGTCTGGGAACATCCTTCGGCAATAGGCGCAGCGAAGCGGGTTGTGGATGCGCTTGTGTGCCGTCAGTGTGGATTTTAGCCCGAATTCCTTCCCACACTCGTTACACTTGTGGACTTTCTTTTCCCCCAATTCAACAGGTTCACCCTTCTTCACCTTGCAGAACAGTCTCATGTGCCTCCTCAATACAAAGTCGAACTTGTACTTCGACCCACAACGAGGGCAAGCATGTGGGCGCTCATCTGAGTGAGAGAGAATGTGATATCGCAGGTATCCCAATATAAATTTATGGCAAATAGGACACCTTGCACAGCGTTTGGATGATCCTACTGGTGCACTGGGTTCCGGGGAAGAAGATGGGTCTTTGGTTGCATTGGTGGAGGACGACTCACTGTCCTTAGGAGTTTCCTCAATAGGAAAGACACATCTTTCAATATGTTTCTGGAAGCTTCTCAAGGTCTTGTAAATCTTCTTACAGGTGGGACATCGATAGGGCCAGTCACCAGTGTGGGTAACCATGTGTTTCCTCAAGACTGCAGGACGCTGGACGACCTTACCACACACCTTGCATGTCCTACGCTCCAGGGACCTTTTGGCTCTTGCGGATGACCCCTCCACAGAATGCATGTAGGTGAAGGCAGAATTCTGTTTGCTCAGAGTTGCAGAGAGTTGTAGGATTTCTGCTTCACATGTCATGCTCTGCTGGTGTGTACTGCCTGATGGCCCTTGTTCTGTCTGCCCCGCAGCTGGAAGAACACTGCCCTCTCCAAGCTCCCCTTGTTGACGACTCAGAAACAGACAAGCCTCTTCATGAGCCTTCACACTGTAATCGTGCTTGAAAGTCCTCTCACAGTTACTACATTGATGGATGCCTTTCTTCGGATGGGACTCCATGTGGATCTTCAGTTCAGAAGGGTTAGGGAAGACCTGTTCGCACACTCTGCACTTTTTGGGCTCGGTGTGGATAATCTGATGCCGCTTCATGCTTGAACTTGTGGCTAAAGTCTTCCCACAAACTGGACATGTCTTGCAGACAATGCGTTTTTGGTTTTTTTCGTTTTGGGCTACTTTTTGTCCTGGCGGACGCGGTAAAATTTTCTTCAACATCAGACCCTTGTATTGCATCACTGATATGGACGGCCCACTTTCCTCAGGCATTTCCTCAATAGGAAAGACACATTTTTCAGTATGTTCCTGGAAGCTTCCCAAAGTCTTGTAAATCTTCTTACAGGTGGGACATTGATAGGGCCAGTCACCAGTGTGAGTCACCATGTGTTTCCTCAAGACTGCAGGACGCTGAACGACCTTACCACACACCTTGCATGTCCTCCGCTCCAGAGACCTTTTGGCTCTCCCGACGACCTTTTGATTGGATGTGGGGGTCTGTGTTACGTTAGCGATAACGATCCCTTGTAGGTCCACGGAGGGCTTTTGTATCATGGAGGATATGATTTCTTTAGACACGCCTATGCTTATCTTTTGTCCAGGTTTGGCCTTTCTTCTGCATTTTTCACTATGGGTTTCCTCTTTCTTTTGGGGGGGCTTTTTGAGAAGTTTGAAAGGCTTTTCTATCCCATCTTCCCCTATAACCATCACTGTTTCATACTCCGGATCCACCTCTGTCACTTGGTCAGCAAACTCTGCATCATCCTCATCACTAACAGAGGAAGTTTTGTTTTTCTCACATTCCCCTGACCTGCTATCCACCCCTTCCCTTTCTTTTACATCCATACTTGTTCCTTCTTTCTCCACCTCTGTTGAAATCACCACCCGTTCCACAGGAGGAAGACAGAGAGCTGAGAGAATGCAGTCCCCATCGGTGGAAGATGGAGGGTCTGTGAAAAAAGGAATAAGGGAACCAAAACTCAACACAGTAATGCTCGATAGATGTAATTTGCCATTTGGGTGTGACAAAACAAATCCATCATATAAAGCATGAAAATGATGGGTCCTGTGAGAGATGCCTACCATGGTTGTCCAGTGGGCTGAGGTCTCTGTGGTACTGAAGCAGGGTTTTCAGCTGCTGAGGGTGAGACACAGACTCAACACATTCCTCCAGAACAGATGGAACATCGCCAAGCAGCGAGGAAGCCTGAAAAATTAGGAATACAGAGTTAGAAGGAATATAGGTAGAATTCCCACAAAGCCTAAGTGCCAAGCCCATGGTTCCTCTATATGATTGTATTTTATTTCTATAAGTACCTGTTGGAAGTTTGATATGGGAAGTAGCTTCTCAAGTCTCGAAAGAAATTGCCACATGAGTTTCTGTATGGCTGCGTCATAACTGGGACCAAATTCTACAGGAAAAACATCCTAAAACAGAGTAATGAAATATGAGCTATGAAAACATCTCAGAGGAGACTATTATTTAATTTGTGGAAATGACCCACGGCTATTCCATACCCACATACTCACTCACTGACCTGGAAGAAATGTTTCCTCTCATCTGAGTCTTTCAGAAGGGTTTGAACCAGCCCCAGGAAGTTGGATTCAGATAATCCTACCTCTGCATCAGTCGCCTGAAAAACAGAATATAAACATGTTGCCTTCATCAGGACATCTAGATGATAGCTTGTCATTTAGTCTGCATATGTTTTTGCCATAATGTATCATTGTCATATCAGAAATATGTCTATGACTGACTGATTTAGACAGTAGCTGAGTCTCTACCCTAAGGAGCTCACCTGTGTTCCCCAGAGAGGTGTGAGGGTCTGTATCCTGTCCAGGTGTGGCTGAATGGTCTGGGGGTCTGTGATCGGCTTAGAGCGACACAACTCCAGCACCAGCTGAAACCAGAGCAAACCAGTAAGGAATACTTATTTGCGACAGTAAAGATGACTAAATATTATCATATCCCATCGTTCCCCACATAATGAGCACTAGTTCCGTCTCTCCTTCTCACCCGTGCTCGAAGACCCAGAATAAGTTGGGCCCTCTGACTGTTGTTCAGAAGCTCTGGAACCATCTCTGTGACCATGGTAACAAACTCCTCCAGCATCCCATAATCCATCACGTGTCTCTGCTGTATTGTTTGCCAGATGGCTGCTGAGACCAACCGCAGTGGTGGGACCATGAGGCGCAGAGAGGGGAGAGGAAGAGGGGGACCTGAAACACAGATACTGACTTAGTTGTTCACAAATCCATTTATAAGCACCTCTTATTGCACATCACACTATAACTTGTTGACCAAACAATAAAACAATCAAAGATGTGAGAACGATGAGCAACAATTAGTTAATTAATCAAATGTATTTTATAAAGCCCTTCTTACATCAGCAGTTGTCACAAATTGCTATACAGATACCCAGACTACAACCCCAAACAACAAGGAATGCAGATGCAACGGGCTTTGTGACAAAGACATGTTTTTTTTTTGTTTATGTTCTTCAGGTCGCAGTTGTTCTCAACTGGCTTACCTGGTTAAATAAAGGTTAAATAAAAAAATCAACATTCGGTTTCAGGAAGTTAGCCACTTAGCTAGCTAGCTCGCCATGTAGCTACTGCTATTCTTCCTATCCACTGTCTAGCTACCTTTTTAGCTAAAAGTCATGTTTTACCTTTTCCCCCATGGATGTGTCTTTCCATCTTGAGTGTTCCTTGCCGTTACATCCGAAAACGTTAGGTATGATAATGAGGTTAATAATAGCCACGTTTACTCGTAAATTTGCACAAAAAAACGTTAGGTCGTTATCTTTTGTACCTCAATCAAAGATGGTGGCTCAATGGTCGTTTTGGTCCCGATTTTACATCCGTGTGGAAGCTATTTCGACACTGCAATGGTTCCGCACAAGATCGCTAGAGCGAAACAAAAAATTACTCGCTGGCGCAGAACAGAGCAGTGCAATTAATTCCATACGGAATAATTTTACAGTAGGACTGCTGACCAGCGCTTCCGTTAATAGCGCAATGACAAAGATGTTCTATTATATTGACAAGATAGTCGAGTGACCGCTCAACAATGGAAATACTCCGATATAAATTCGTAACAACCTAACCATTACGAAACTAATATTCGATAAAATAAGACGCACGTTGCTAATTAGCAATTAAATATTTGTGTTGACCAAATTCGATACTCTCATTGACCTCCATACAAAAAAATCCTCACTTCGTGGTCTTATCTTTGGGCGGAGTAAACTCTCTCGCTTCGCCTCTTCCTCTCTGTCAATGAGCGCTTCCTGAGGCAAATCTTTGGCGCCTCACATTCACGAACTTTGAGACCGGAAATTAATTTGATAAACCATCACCACAGTTTTTAAGTATCGATGTGACTGCAGCGAATACCACACGATGAGCGGACACATTTCAGAAAAAAATGGTAAAATGCAGTAGAATTTGTGATCATTCTGATCCAAACTAGTACAGAGAAGCTAGCTATCTAACATAGCTAACGTTAGCCAGTGAAGTTCACGTCTTTTTCTCTTTTGCTAGCCAGTGAAGTTCACGTCTTTTTCTCTTTGCTAAACTGGCGAACTGTCCGGGTCGAATTGCATTTCTTTTAGCAATGTGTTCCTTTACCAACGAACTCAAGCTAGCTAGTCATGTATTAGCTTAGCCACCACCCGCACCCATTTTTGCATTACTCATCGCAGCGGAGAACGACTGCCCCTTCTCAATAAAGCCACGAAGTTCAAGGCCAACCGCGGTACTGCAGGCTGTTGTTTCCAGAAAACAGGGCCTCATTTATCACCCCGTGCCTAAATGTTTTACTAAATTCTGGAGTAAATGGAGATTCTAGAATTTGCCTCCTCCACAAATTGTTGGGATTTAAAGGTATAAATAGGCTTTTTAGCTACTTCCCCAGAGTCACATGAACTTGTGGATACAATTTGTATGTCTCTGTGTTCAGTATGAAGGAAGTTTGAGGTAATTTCGTGAGCCAATGCTAACTAGCGTTAGGGCAATCACTGGAAGATTATGGGTATCTGTTAGTTAGTTAGTTAACAGTTGCGGCACCGCGAGTTAGCAATTTATTTCAAACTGCTCGTTGAGACATAACAATTGTATCTAAGAGTTCATCTGACTCTGGGGAAGTACACGAATCGCCTCATTGCCAAAATCCCGAAGTATCGCTTTAACTGTTGCACACAACATGTATGCATGTTTTCATTGATACATGTTATGGTAACAAAAACGCCCTCATTTACTGAATGATTTTGAAACGGAATAGCAAATTTGATCACATTTCTGTAGAGGTGTGGGCAGAATATTTTAATCTTTTGCAGTTACTTTTTCAAACGAAATGCATGCCGCCTATAGCGAGTGACAAACTATGGCCTCTTATTCTGCAAGATGTGTCTATTGAACAATTTAAAAGTAAATGCTGCCTAAAGCCCACACTTCTATGCAAAAGGCGAATTGTTGTTCAATATTTTGTTTATTAGAAACACAATCATGTATTATCTCCTGCCTTGGTATAGGCTCTGAGATTAAATAGGCTATAATGTCGTGCTCCTATTGCACAGCAAAACTGTAGCCTACCCATACTGTCATAGGTTACCGGTCTATTTATTTTCGAGCATGGCTGGCTATTGAATGAGCGATTAATATATAGTAGCCTAACATTTGTTGTGGAGCGGGAATAAACAAGTCATGTCAGAAAAGGAGAGACATGCCCTGCAATATGATTATGATTTAGGCCTACATAATAAAAGTAAAATATATAATGATGATCTTACCAACGGCAAATGCATCTATCATTAGTCCTATGTTTAATGTTTTTATTAGCCTACCATTATAATTCCCATGCATCAAACACCTCCACATACTATAAAACATATTTTCGCATACTGAGAATGTGTCATGCGAGACTGCATTGTTTCCCGCTATTAAATCAAATCAAATTGTATTTGTCACATGCGCCGAATACAACAACAACCTTACCGTGAAATGCTTACTTACAAGCCCTTAACCAACAATGCAGTTTTAAGAAAATATTTACTAAATAAACTAAAGTTTAAAAAAATAATTTTAACTCCTCCCCATATCTAATTGATCAGCTGTTGTCAAAGACAAAATGAGTATGACATCTGGGCATTTAAAGTATACTAGATTTTGGAAATGTCGCATACTGTTACATTTTATTTTCTACTATTTAGGACGCATCCTAGAGTAGCTCAAAAAGGCATGCAATGTGTCCAAAAACTGTGTCATGAAGCAAGATGGTGATGTGCTAAAATGACACTTCCTGATCTTGAAATGCGCAACTTTCACATAGGAAACAGTGGGGTGGCGTCATCGATGGCTCAGTCTATGGTTCATCGGAACGGAATCAGTTGTAACAAAACTGGCATTGCTGTCCTCATCAAAACCAAATTCTCTGTTTTCAGGTCCCCCTCTTCCTCTCCCCTCTCTGCGCCTCATGGTCCCACCACTACGGCTGGTCTCAGCAGCCATCTGGCAAACGGTACAGCAGAGACAGGTGATGGATTATGGGATGCTGGAGGAGTTTGTTACCATGGTCACAGAGATGGTTCCAGAGCTTCTGAATCACAGTCAGAGGGCCCAACTTATTCTGGGTCTTCGAGCACGGGTGAGAGAGGGGGGTGGAGCTAGTGTTAATCAAACCTTTGGAAAGATGAGATGATCATATTTAATATTATTGTACCCACTACGTCTCCTGACTGGTTTGCTCTGCTTTCAGCTGGTCCTGGAGTTGTGTTGCTCCAAGCCGATCACAGACCTCCAGACCATTCAGCCACACCTGGACAGGATACAGACCCTCACACCTCTCTGGGGGACACAGGTGAGCTCCTTAGGGCAGAGACTCAGCTAATGTTTAAATCAGTCAGTCATAGACATATTTCTGATATGACAATGATACATTATGGCAAAAACATATGCAGACTAAATGACAAGCTATCATCTAGATGTCCTGATGAAGGCAACATGTTTATATTCTGTTTTTCAGGCGACTGATGCAGATGTAGGATTATCTGAATCAAACTTCCTGGGGCTGGTTCAAACCCTTCTGAAAGACCCAGATGAGAGAGAACATTTCTTCCAGGTCAGTGAGTATGTGGGTATGGAATCGCCGTGGGTCATTTCCACATGACTGCTGTGTATTTCAACAATTTAAATAATAATTTATTCTGAGATGTTTTCATAGCTCATATTTCTTTACTCTGTTTTAGGATGTTTTTCCTATAGAATTTGGTCCCAGTTATGACGAAGCCATCCAGAAACTAATGTGGCAATTTCTTTCGAGACTTGAGAAGCTACTTCCCGTATCAAGTTTCCAACAGGTACTAGTAGAAATAAACTAAAGTCATATAGAGGAACCATGGACTTGACACTTAAGCATTGTGGGAATTCTACCTATATTCCTTCTAACTCTGTATTCCTCATTGTGTAAGGCTTCCTCGCTGCTCGGCGATGTTCCCTCTGTTCTGGAGGAATGTGTTGAGTCTGTGTCTCACCCTCAAGAGCTGAAAACCCTGCTTCAATACCACAGAGACCTCGGCCAGCTGGACAACCATGGTAGGCATCTCTCACAGGACCCATGCATGATGTTGGCCAATCTTCTGTTGGGGACAGTGACATTTATTCTCTATTCAACCATTGTCTTTCATTTATCCTCTTCCTTTTATAGATACTCTGTCTTCCACCGATGGGGACTGCATTCTCTCAGCTCTCTGTCTCCCTCCTGTAGAAAGGGTGGTGATTGCAACAGAACAGACAGAATCAGAAACACAGGTTTCATCCTTGAATGTCTTCATGGATACATTCACCAAAGAGTTGGAGGTGGACTCTGCAACACTGACAGAGTACACAGAGATGGAACCGGGGACAAGTATGGATGTAGTAGAAAGAGAGGAGAGCGTGGAATGTGAGAGAAAGGAAAATGAAGAGGAGGAGGAGGAGGAGGAGGATGCAGAGTTTGTTGACCCAGAGACTGAAGAGGTGGAACCAGTGTATGAAACAGTGATGGTTTTAGGGGAAGATGGGAAGATGAAGCCTTTAGTCAAAAAGAATAAGCTCAAAAGGCACAAAAGAGAGATAATTGATGCCAGTGGCATGCCTCATGGAAAGACACACAGAGAACCTAACCTTGCACAAATGAAAAGCATAGACCTGTCTGATAGGATCATATCGTCCATGCTTCACAAGCCCTCAGTGGAGCTACAAAGGATTAACACCACTAACCTGACATTGCCCTTAAGACCAGTGAGAAGAAACAGGGGGCATAAGATGAAGACATTGCTAGCACGAGAACGGAAACAAACCAAGACTGAATTTTCAGAAGAGAAGCGCCGTGTCTGCAAAAGAGTTAAAACACCCCAAAACCCCAATATGTGCACAGTGTGTGGACGCGTCTTATCCCGCTGTTCAGACATGAAAAAGCACATGCAGACCCATAACAACGGTCGCACCTATCAATGTCGCAATTGTCAGAAGACTTTCAAGCACTTGTACACTTTGCAAACTCACAGAAAGTCATGTCTGTTTGGAACTGGGCAACAAGAGGAGGTTCCCTCTGGAGAGGGCAGTAGTGCTCCGGTTACTACGTGTGAGGCAGAATTCGCACAATCCTCCATAGATCGTAGAACGTGCAAGGTGTGCGGCAAGATTGTGCATCGCATTGGATACTTGAGTACCCACATGAAGATTCACTCAGAGAATCGCCACTATTCACTCGGAGAAGCGAAAACAGTCCAGAAACCGTCACCTGAGGGAGGGGACACAGAGCCGTCCAGTGGTCTTCCTCTTGAGGCAAAACCTGAGGACAGTGACTCGTCCTCCACCAGTACACCCCAGGACCCGTCTTACGACCCAGAACACAGCCAGACCAAAAGACCCAAGTGTTCCAGCACAGCAAAGAAGCCTAACCGAAAAACTTTCCAAAAACGTATGTGCCTTATTTGTGGTAAATGCGTGACTGCTGGAGCCTTTGAGTATCACATGAGAACTCACTCAGGCGAGCGTCCTTTCTCCTGCCCTCATCCTCAGTGTGGGATGAAGTTTATACACAGCGGAGGTTTGAGGGCCCATCTCAGACGATATTGCAAGGTTCAGACAGTTGACGCTTCTGAGCTCGACAGCTTCGACATACGTTTTGAGTGTGACAAATGTGAGAAGACATTCACGATCCAATCAAAACTGAGGAAACACAAACTTATCCACGGCCCGCTCTACTGCGCAGGTTGCAGAAAGGTATTGCCCGACTTAGAAACTTTAACCAGACACAAGCTCTGGCACAGGCCCGTTCAGTGCAGCATGTGTGAGGAGAGCTTCATGCTCACAAACCTTAGAACGCACTATCTGGATGTCCATAAGTTCAGCGGGCCGTTCGTCTGCACCCACTGTCCGAAAAGCTACAAGAAGTTCCATTCCCTCATCAAACACGAGATGGTTCACACCGGGAACCTCCCCTTACAGTGCTCCCAGTGTCCAAAGAGATTCATCTACAATTACGACCTAGTCGAACACGAGAAAAGGCACTCTGACGACAGGCCTTGTCTTTGCTGGGAGTGTGGCAAGGCCTTTTATACCAACATTGACCTGAAACAACACATGCAAAATAGCCATGGTGAAAAATCCACAGAGTTTCGCTTTCCGTGCCGCCATTGTGGGAAACCTTTCAGGCTTAGTAATTCCCGTGCGAACCACGAGAAGACTCAGCACGGCGGGGTGCGTTACCCGTGTACGTACTGTGGTAAGCAGTTTGTTTGTGCAGATTCGTTGAAAAGGCATGATCTGATTCACACGGGGGAGAGGCCTTTTAAATGCAATCATAAGAATTGCGTTAAAGCTTTCAGGTCGAGAGCTGAACTGAAGATACACATGAGATACCATACTGGAGAACGGCCGTTCAAGTGCAAGGACTGTGGAAAGGGCTTTGTTCAAGCCAATTTTCTCACTACGCACTACCGGACTCATACAGGGGAGAAGCCGTATTCATGTTCCCTCTGTGACAAACGCTTTAACTACCATGACTCCCTGAAGAGACACATGTCTACACACTCAAACGAGAAGCCTTATAAATGCCTGGATTGTGGAAAAGCTTTCGAACGTAAAACGCTGTTGAATGTACATCAACGATCATGTACATCACAGTATTGAAATGTTAATTTTGTGCTTAAGATAAAATAAGATGTGTACAGAGTTTATAAGATCGTGGCCTGATAAATAATTTCCCTGTTTAGTTTTTTTATTTAACACGGTCAGTCAATCTGTAAATGTTCTTCCTTTTCATATTACTGCAGTTATACTTTTCTTCCATAAGTGAAATTTAAATAAAAGTAGAATACAATACATAATTGGAGTTGTATGGTTTTGTGTATGTGTAACCATGGTCCTTCAGTCACTCTCCTTGCCTCATCAGCTACATTGCACACACAGCCAGTCTATAAAAATAATTGAGTATCTAAGTATTTTTACATTGTCTTGTGCTTAGAACACAAAACAATGTAAAAGTACTTGGAGACTAAATTATTTTTCTTATGAAAACGCCATAGTAACATAGAATTAGCTAATTGAATACATTCATTAAATCCCATGAACATCATGGAAGTCTGCAAATGATAGACGACCGAAGTGGAACTGATATTCACAGCACATCGTTTGACAGGGGTCTTTTAACAGTCGGACACAATCACAAGAATAAGAAACATTTCGAGCAGCCTCTGAGTAGCTTTGTTGTTTGCTTCTATACTGTACTGTCAGCTATATTAATCAATATTTTTGGGAGCTTTTTACTTTTCCTCAGAAATGTATAAACCCACGTTGACGATGGCTTCCAGGAATTTTCCTGAAATGAAATGACAGGTCAAGCTGGTGCGCAATCGCAGTATCGTTAGCGGACTGCTTGCTAAATTAGCTAGCATATCGAATTCAACGGAGCAAAATAATCTAGCTGGTTTTTAAACAAATCCGTGACATTACAATTAGATTGTTAAGAAGTGTGCGGTAATTTCGCTATAAACGGGCTCTTACAATTGCGGCAGGGGACATTCTAGCTAGCTAAGTGCGTTAGTCTAAATTCGAGAGCAGGCGAATGTCAACAAATGAACGACGTTCCCTTGGCTTTACATCAACAACAATAATTGGACGATCGAGGGTGTTGCGAAATGGAAATCTTAAAAAAGTAGTATTGCTTCACCCAGAGATAACAATTCAGAATTGCCAACGCTGGCCAGTTAGTAAGCTGTTTACTTTTACTAGCTAGCTAGCAAGGTATTTCTCTCTTTACTGACAGTGACTTTACTGTAGCTTTCTGTCAAGATGCCTGGAATGGTGGCGTTTGGCCGGCGTTGGGGAATTGCGAGCGACGATCTGGTCTTCCCCAGCTCCTTTGAGCTGTTCGTCAGGGTTCTATGGTAAGTGTTGTTGCCACACAATTAAAACTTGATCTATCAAACGTGAGCTCGACATTATTGGGACGATATTTAAAGGGAGGGATGATGCATAAGTGTTGTCATATACCACGTGCATTATTAAAGACGGCTGTCAGTAGTAATAGCTACATAGATCCCACACTCTGTAGCAACTAACAGGACAGCAGCTGAAGGCCTATTCTCTCCTCTTGGTTTTTATTTATTTTATTAGAAAATGTTATCATCCTTGCTGTGCCCAACCCACAACCACACCCTTCCAAAGGTTGCTGCATTGACCTCTGCTGGTATTGCATTGATGTGTTTTAATGAGCTAAATAATCTATACATACCTCTGTCCTGCCCTACAGGTGGATAGGGACACTGGCGCTGTACACTCTCCATAAGGGGAAGTTTGACTGTGCTGGTGGGAGAGTTCTACACAGCTACCTGGTGGTTCTGCTCGTCCTGTTGGCTTTCATCATCCTGTCTCTATGTGCCATCGTCTATGTCAGCGCTCAAGGTGAATCCGGCACACTTACTGTTATGATACGATGAGAGGAATTTACATTAGTTATTGGTGTGATATGTTATTTTTTTGTTTTACCACTCATAGTAATATATAAAAAAAATAAACAGGTCTGTTTATCATAATAACATATGACATCATCAACATGGAACTAATCTCTTATTGTCTTTGTTTCCTTAGGGACTATCACTAACCCAGGCCCGCGGCGCTCCATCCCGGTGCTGGTATACTTGCGGGCGATGCTGTACGTCCCTGAGCTGATCTGGGCCATCCTGGGGGCCATCTGGGTGTCTGATGACAGCCAGGGCTGTCAGCCTGCTGAGGTGGGGGCCGTCATTGCTGCAGTGGTCGCCAGGTGGGTGGGAAGAACTCGTTCTTTCTGAATATATACTGTGGAATGTTTACGTGTGGTTAAGGGCAACACATATAGGCCTACATGCCCCATGAAAACACATTGGCAGTTTACATGATGTGAAACATTCTCCCATCGCCCTCTCTGGCAGTTGGATCTTGCTGCTGTCGACGGGGGTGGGGGTCCTGTTTGTGTTTGACCCGCTGGGCAGCAGCCATCCTGGGCCTCAGTCCCAGGAGCAGCTGGGGGTAAGGGACCTGGAGAGCAGTCAGGGCTCCCAGCTCCTGTCCACTGCCCGCTCCGTGGCTGTCAGGGTCTGGGAGAGCAGGCTGAGGCTCCTCTGTTGCTGTCTGCCTCGGGATGAGAGCCACAGAGCTGCCTTCTCCAGCATAGCTCAGCTTGTCAGTGGATTCTTCTCGGTAAGTAAAGGAAACAGGGTGTGTGTACGCGCATACGCATCTTGTTCAGATTTTTTAACTAATCATGTTTTCTTTGTGTGTGTATTGTAGGATACAGACCTGGTTCCCAGTGACATCGCTGCAGGTCTGGCTCTGCTACACCAGGAGCAGGATAAGATGGAGCAGTGTAGAGATCCAGACGAGGTCCTATCTCACAGCCCCTCATCACCTATCGTAAGTACTGGAGTCAGTCAATTAATCAGTGAGTCTTTCCAATCAGTCAATCAATGAATCAGTTGCCTTGGCGTGTGTGTTTTCCACAGGCGGAGGATCTTGAGGCAGAGCTGGAGAAGGCAGCCCACTGTATGCAATTTGCTGTAGCTGCATATGGCTGGCCCATGTATGTCTACTCCAACCCTCTCACCGGAGCCTGCAAACTCAGCGGGGACTGGTAAGACTGTGACACCTCTAATTTAACGTGCTCATCCTCATCGATTTTTGAGCCGGGGTGTGAAAGTAATTTGTCCTACATATTTGTTAACAGCATTATCAAGAGCAGTGGACATCAGTGTATTAAACACCAAATACATGAACAAAAACACAAGCACACATACACTACCAGTCAAAAGTTTGGACACACCTACTCATTCAAGGGTTTTTCTTTATTTTTTACTATTTTCTACATTGTAAAATAATAGTCAAGATATCAAAATTATGAAATAACACATATGGAATCATGTCGTAACCAAAAAAGTGTTCAACAAATCAAAATATATTTTATATTTGAGATTCTTCAAATAGCCACCCTTTGCCTTGATGACAGCTTTGCACACTCTTGGCATTCTCTCAACCAGCTTCACCTGGAATGCTTTTCCGACAGTCTTGAAGGAGTTCCCACATATGCTGAGCACTTGTTGGCTGCTTTTCCTTCACTCTGCCGTCCGACTCATCCCACACCATTTTGGTTGAGGTCGGGGGATTGTGGAGGCAAGGTCATCTGATGCAGCACTTCATCACTCTCCTTCTTGGTCAAATAGCCCTTACACAGCCTGTTGGTGTGTTGGGTCATTGTCCTGTTGAAAAACAAATGATAGTCCCACTAAGCTCAAACCAGATTGGTATGGCGTATCGCTGCAGAATGCTGTGGTAGCCATGCTGGTTAAGTTTGCCTTGAATTCTAAATAAATCACAGACAGTGTCACCAGCAAAGCACCCCCACACCATAACACCTCCTCCTCCATGCTTTACGGTGGGAACTACACATGTGGAGATCATCAATTCACCCACACTGCGTCTCACAAAGACACGACGGTTGGAACCAAAAATCTCAAATTTGGACTCCAGACCAAAGGACACATTTCCACCGGTTTAATGTCCATTGCTCGTATTTCTTAGCCCAAGCAGGTCTCTTCTTCTTATTGGTGTCCTTTAGTAGTGGTTTCTTTGCAGCAATTCGACCATGAAGGCCTGATTTACACAGTACCCTCTGAACAGTTGATGTTGAGATGTGTCTGTGACTTGAACTCAGTAAAGCATTTATTTGGGCTGCAATTCCTGAGGCTGGTAACTCTAATGAAGTTATCCTCTGCAGCAGAGGATAACTTCAGAGGTCTGGGTCTTCAATTCCTGTGGCGGTCCTCATGAGAGCCAGTTTCATCATAGCGCTTGATGGTTTTTGACATTTTCCGTATTTACTGAACTTCATGTCTTTAAAGTAATGATGGACTGTTGTTTCTCTTTGCTTATTTGAGCTGTTCTTGCCATAATATGGACTTGGTCTTTTACCAAATAGGGCTATCTTCTGTATACCCCCCTACCTTGTCACAACACAACTGATTGGCTCAAACGCATTAAGAAGGAAAGAAATTCCAGAAATTAACTTTTAAGAAGGCACACCTGTTAATTGAAATGCATTCCAGGTGACTACCTCATGAAGCTGGTTGAGAGAATGCCAAGAGTGTGCAAAGCTGTCATCAAGGCAAAGGGTGGCTATTTGAAGAATCTCAAGTATAAAATATATTTTGATTTGTTTAACACTTTTTCGGTTACTACATGATTCCATATGTGTTATTTCATAGTTTTGATGTCTTCACTATTATTCTACAATGTAAAAAATAAAGAAAAACCCTTGAATGAGTAGGTGTGTCCAAACTTTTGACTGGTACTGTATGTACTGTAAACACGTAAATGTACTGTAAACACCTATATGCCAATATACTGTGTGTTTCAGCTGTAAGACCCAGTCTGCTGAGTATGACATTGTCGGAGGAGACAATATGGGCTGCCATTTCTCCTCCATCCTCCACAGCACCGGCCTACAGTACAGAGACTTCATCTACGTTAGCTTTCACAACCAGGTACTTCGACTCAGGGCAAATCTCAAGTGAGATCCTATTCCCCCCATTAGTGTCCTGCCTGTTGGCCCGTATTGAATTCTCTAGTACTGATAAATATAACTCTGTCTGTTCCAGATCTATGAGATTCCGTTCTTCGTGGCTCTGGACCATAAGAGAGAGGCAGTACTGGTGGCTATCAGAGGAACACTGTCACTCCGGGTGAGACTTATCATCTCTATCTATCTATCTTATCTAACTTATCTATCTTATCCATCTTATCTATCTAATCAATGTCTTTCACTAGTTAATGTACATTTCTGTGTAGGATTTGCTGACTGACCTGTCTGCAAACTGTGAGAACCTGCCAGTAGAGGGAGTGTCAGGAACATGCTATGCTCACAAGGTGGGTGGAATAATCACATTACATATACATTTTACTCAGTTAGCAGACGCTCTCATCCAGAGCGACTTACAGTAGTGAGTGCATACTTTTTCGTACTGGCCCCCGTGGGAATAGAACCCACAACCCTGCCGTTGCAAGCGTCACACATTACCAACTGGGCCACGGGACCAAACTTAACTTATTTTATTGAGCTTTACTTTCTTACAATTTCTATCAGAACATAAATAATTTCCAAAGGACATGTTAGACGTGAGCTGTAACCACTGTGTTCAACAGGGCATGTCTCAGGCAGCCAGCTACATCTGTAAGAAACTCCTCAACGACGGCATTCTAAACCAGGCTTTCACCATCGCACCTGTAAGAACACTTACCTTTCCTCTTTCAGAGAAATTACATTAGTTGTATATAACTTTAAAAGCACTAACTGTGTGTGTGTGTTTTTTTTTCAGGAGTACAAGCTAGTCATCACAGGCCACAGTCTTGGAGGGGGTACAGCCTCTCTCCTGGCCGTTCTATTACGGAGCTCCTTCCCCACCCTGCAGTGTTATGCCTTCTCTCCACCAGGGGGACTCATGAGGTAACAAGTTCAACACACGTAAAAAAATAATGCATGCTTAGCATTACATCAAGCGTCGATTTAAGTTGGTGTAATGTACATAATATTAGTCAGATCGATTTCCTTCTGTGCTCTCTCTGCAGTAAAGCCCTGGCTGATTACTCCAAGGAGTTTGTAGTGTCTGTGGTGCTGGGGAAGGACTTGGTGCCAAGGTGAGGAGGAGAGGAGCCCCCCCCCCCAACTCAGACAAATTGTTTCCCTGAAACAAACTGTGTTCTATTAATGAGTTTCTGTTATGAGTTTCTCACTATTGGACATTATTATACTAGTACACACAGTGGACCAGGATAGGGACTGGGAAACTCTTGTTGCGTGAGTGCATGTAATAATAATAATAATAGTATTATAATAATAATAATATGGGCCATTTAGCTGATGCTTTTTATCTAGCGACTTAGTCATGCGGGCATACATTTTACGTATGGGTGGCCCCGGGAATCGAACCCACAACCCTAGCGGTGCATGCTCTAGGACCATGCATGTGTCAGTGTGTCAACTCCAGTGGAAAGTCCTGATTCCTGAGTCTGAATGTGAAAGGGCTGTGGTGTACGATGGAGATGATATATTTAGGATCTGTCCCCTTATTACAGGCACACAGAAAATGAGAGCAACTCCCCCGCCCTCTCAAACTATTTTCTCTCTCTGAGTTAGAGTTCAAGTGCTTGTTCTGTGTTTTGTTGAAAGGCTGCACAGATTTAATTCATTTTTCCTCTCTCTCCACCTCCATCTCTCAGGTTGAGTTATCCCAACATGGAGGACTTGAAGAGGAGAATACTGAAAATGGTTTCTAATTGCAATAAGCCCAAGGTGAGAACATTATCATTCAAATCCAAAATTAAGTTTATTATGAGTAAAATTATTTGGGCAGAATCCTAACTTTGGAGAGGGACCCTGATGATGTCTGATGACTTCTCTTTTCTCTCTCTCTCTCTCTCTCTCTCTCTCTCTCTCTCTCTCTCTCTCGCTCTCTCTCTCTCGCTCTCTCTCGCTCTCTCTCTCTCTCTCTCCCTCCCTGTCCCCCTCTCAGTACCGTATCCTGCTCCAGGGCTGTTGGTATGAGTTGTTTGGGGGAGAGCCTGATGACTTCCCTACTGAGATGGACAACAGACGGGAGGAGGAGCTTAACCAACCGCTTTTGGGGGAGGAGTCACTGCTGATTCGCGGCTCATCATCCTATCAAGGCCTGTCTTCCGAGGACTCGCCTGTACACTGCGCCCACCTGCCACTTTACTTACCGGGACGTATACTGCACATTACAGAGGACGGGCCGTCACGGAGGTGTGTATGAGGCACACACACAAATTAAAGGAGACATTTACTTTTTACAACCAGATCTGTATTTTGGCATGTTATAGAAGTGTTCAGACACTTGTTTTTGAGAAACTTACCCCAAACCAGCGAGACTTCCTCATCCTCGTTGTGCAGTATGGGCGCTCGAACAAAACATGAACAAAAGCTCCAAAAACACCCAAATACATGCTTTTAGAAACGGAAACACTCTCAGTATAGTGATGCAGGTCTTCCATTTTGTCACTCCCTCCATTCTCCACACGGCTACACAGAGAATGGAACTGCTATATAGTGGAAACTGCTCGAGTCTTACAAAATGGAAATAACGTTACTGATTAAGTTCAGAATTACACAATTTTGGTTGTAAAAAAAAAAAAGTTACCTTTGAAATCATCACTTTATGTCTTAATAAATCACTGTGTGTTTAGTTATTGAAAATAACTCAAAAATATATTTTTTATCATTTATTTCCCTGAGCCTCCTTTGGTTCTTGAAATGCTCAGGCTGATCGTGTGGGCGTTAGGAAACAAATTTGAAGATATTTACATACACAACCCTGTGGTCTAGAGTCCACCCCCTTGCCCAGATGAATAGTCATTGGTCTATTATAATCAGATCACATTGTCACGTCATGTTGGCCCAAAGTTCCATTCATCTGAACAGGCTGAAATTCCAGGATTGTTTTCAAACAGCTCTTACATAAAAAGGGCATTGTTATCATTTTCAGAATTTATTTTGACCTCATAGTGGAAATATGAAGAAAAACAGGAAAATCACGTTTCTAACTGCACTGCCCCTTTAAGTACATTACATCCATGTCTGCCTTTATCATTGACCAAAGTCCTCCACTTTTTCTTCCCTCCTTCATCCCTCCTCCTAGGTCCTGTTTTTCCCAGGTGCGTTACCGGGCAGAGTGGTCCAGTGAAACGGCATTCCGGAGTGTTCTCATCAGTCCCAGGATGATCGCCGACCACATGCCTGACGCTGTGCTCTGGTCGCTTCGCAGTCTGACGCAGGACAGGCCCTTCAACCTCTGCCCCTCGTCGCTTAGCAACAGCCACCTCAACGTCATATGAGTCACACTGCTACACACACACACACACACACACCTGGACAGGACAAGCCTGACTGTCTTTCGCTAGGCTGACCCCATTCTGTCCCCAGTCCTTCTGTTCCAGTCCCATTTCTTCCTTCCCCCTGTCCACTGTCTTAAGTCCCCCCAGCTTCTGTCCCTGTTTTGTCCCCACCCCATGTGGGGGGCCTCAACAGCCAAGTCAAAGGGACAAGACAATTAGTCATCAATAAAAGGAATGTGCAGGACTGTCTCACTATGACTTTGGAAAGAAGGTTGCAATTTGATTATTTATTTATGTAGTCATCATTTGTTGCCATTTCATTGGTTATTGCTTTCTTCTTTTGAGTAATTCCATGAACAACTGTCATTGTCATTAACATAAATTGTGCTTTGTGTACAGAGTTAGATAGCATTGCAGTGTTACTGTAATTCCAAAAATGTACATTCAGATTTTATTTTTATTATTTTTTTAGGTTGCTGGTTTTGAGGAGATTATTATTTGTTGATTGTGTAACTGTGGTTTGTCTTTGTCCTGTGCTGAATGTCTGAGACTTGAGGTAGAAGTTGTCCTGCACCACAGATCTAAGATCAGATTATCCTCCCACTAACCATTAGGGTGATTAACAATATCTGACCCTGTATAAGTAGTTGGGGAAAACTTCTACCTACTCAAAAATCAGGGTGAATAGTGCCTATGCATCGCAGAACAATAAGTCTCACCAATACTCTCAATGCTTGACCAGTGTTTTGTTTTGCCCCTTGTATGCAGAACTAGTAGTGCATGAAACAAATGAGTTAATTGGCATGAAAAAAAATTGCTCCAGTTTCATAACACATTTTCTGTTAACTTGCTATTTACATATTACATTATCAGGTAATTCAACATTGATGACAGAAAGTCAAAGTAATGTAATAGTTTACATCCTGAATCGTGTATTATTTAGTTTGATGACCATCGATACAAATAAAAACATGTCACAAGTCATGTTTCTGTAGTTATTTTTGTATCTGGAGGCAGCTTAAATTATTTATCAAACATTTGCAAAGTCCCCAAGCTGTTTTTCTAGACTACCTGTTGAGTTAAAACAACAGTGCCGTGATGAGGCACATCGAATAAAGATGTCCAATTACAGATATGACCTATACTGATGGGGACAGTGCTATTGAATGAAAACACTGGCACAAATTACAAAATGTTTCCAAAATATAAAAAAGGATGACGTTTTCTCCCCTCCATCCCTCCCTCCCAGCCGTCTTTTAGCATGTGACGTCAGCATGACGGGGGCCAGTCTACAACACAGAAGCTCATCTGTTGGGAAGTCGGGATGACAACTGTAGAAAGCGGAGCTAAGTAGCTAGCTAGCGAAATACTTTTCTATTTAGCCCCCTTGTAAGTCAACCGTCCATAGGAGAAAGGGACCGCAACTTGTTGAAAGTCGTTTATTTTGCTCTTTTGTTTATTTTCTCCGTAGCTAATGGTAGCGCGGTTATATTTTAGGGACATTATTTGGTCTCGCTGCACCACAGAAATATAAGGTGGGTTGCTGCTGGCAAGCTTTCCCAAGTAGCGACGCGTAGCTTTTTCCTCCGCTACTGTTAGCCCGCTAGCTGGCGAGAAGAGAGGGGGACAAGAAAAATGGAGTTGGACGATGGCGTTCTTTACCAGGACGACTCTGGCAGTTCGGCGATGATGTCCGAACGGGTGTCTGGTCTGGCGAGCTCCATTTACCGAGAGTTTGAACGGTTGATCTGTCAGTACGACGAGGACGTTGTGAAAGAACTCATGCCGCTTGTCGTCGCTGTGTTGGAGAACTTGGACTCGGTGTTCGCGGAGAACCAGGAGCACGAAGTCGAGTTAGAGCTTCTGAAAGAGGACAACGAACAACTTGTTACCCAGTATGAACGGGAGAAATCGCTCAGAAAATCTACAGAAGAGGTGGGTTTGAGTCATCGACTGTCAAAGAAAGAGGGAAAGAAGGACTCGAGTTCGCAGACAGACTACGAGGCTGATGGGAAAAGCTTTGCATGCTACTGCTAGACCACTAAAGTTAGTTTTGACAGTTCAAGCACAAAGTAATATTCCACAACAAGCAGTACATACAGTATTGACTTGTTATTTCAATAGGCAAAGGCTACTGACTAGAATCTGGGTTTATAATTGCAATTCAACTTTGCCATGGTTTGCTGAGCTAGATGCAGGTAGCCTATAGCCCCTGATAGGCTAGCATCTCATTTCAGGGAAAAGTCCACAATGAAACTGACATTAAATGTGGAGAATGTTACATTTGCGATAGAGCTGTGACCATTTACATTTTACATTTGATCACAATTGATAACTTTCAATTTAATTAATTAAACATGGCCCTTAATAATTGCATAATAACACAAGGCTACAACAAACTGAAGTTTGTATGAAAAAAAAAAAAGGCAAAAAAAAAAGTATGCTCTGGATAAGAGTGTCTGCTAAATGACTAAAATGTAAAGTTATAAACTATTTATTGAATCCGTTTGCCAGCTCCAGGTAGGTTACACAAGTGGCACAAATTGATTTGCAATGACTCCAGGGATATCGTCATTTCAACATATTTATTGTATCAAATGATAGGCTACAGTAACCTACAATGGCAATGAAATTAATAGCCTACTTGATGGCCAACAGATGCAAAAGTATCGTTCTCCACATTTAATGTCAGTTTCATTGTGGACTTCCCCCCCATAACAGAAGCACGCGAGGGAGTTCCATAACTTCCATTCAAATTTCCACTTCCATTTAAAATATTACACACGCAGCGCTCGAGACCCAATAATACCACCTCTGAGCGAATGTATCTAAAGCGCTCTAGTGTCTAAAGTTGTTATATCAGTTCTAGAGCTTTTAATATGTTTTATTGAAAAAGGATTGGAAATGGGTGTCTCCATAATGACCAATCTAAATAGCTTACCTGCGACTGGTAAGAAGTTGCCACGGCGTGTGCTGCTCTATCCGTGACTCAGCTGCCTGCTGCAGAACTCTCTCAACCCTCACTCACTCACTCAGTAACAGCCTGCCTCACTGCCTGATAGTCAGCAGCAGCAGGTTATATACATTTTTTTTTAATGGTTTAAAAATAAGAGAAATGCCATGGCGGCCGCAGTGCAATTTAGAAGTAGCCCAAAAACCCGCAACCTGCGACAATACATTTTCACCCGCGACATCGTTTTCAAATTATGCCAATTTGGCAAGAAAACCACAGACATGGCAACCCTGGCTGTAAGTATGGCTAGGTTCAAGCTTTCTGGCTAGAGACATTTGTCTGGTTGACTTGCTTCTGTCTTTTCTCTCACTTTCATACACAGACCAAAATCCCACTAATTTACCATGCTTGCATTTTATACCAGCTTTTTCATATATCTGAAAGGGGTAAGGTGTAAAAACCATGGAAAATGAAAAACCACCTAAACCCATTTCAGACAGAAGATGTTATATTACGTGCAAAAAAATATAAGGCAATGTTTGACCCCATTTCAAGCAGGCCCTTATTTACCACTTTGTTGCAGGTGTACATGCCCCTTTTATACATATCAGTGGGTAACTGGCAAATTGGGAGGGGTGGGGGTTTAACAATGGGGTCTGTTTGCATGTCAAAGTAGGGAAATGTTATACAATGGAAGTGTTCATGAATTTACCAGCAAAAAAAGCAGAGAACCATTCACACCCAATACCTGTATTTTGGTTATAGGATCTGTGAAAATGCAGGAATCATGACTAGGTTTTTAGGCAGTGGTGTAGAGTACTTAAGTAAAAATACTTCTTAAGTAGTTTTTTTGGGTATCTGTACTTTACTATTTATATTTTTGCCAACTTTCACTTCACTACATTCCTAAAGAAAATAATGTACTTTTTACTCCATACATTTTCCCTGACACCCAAAAGTGCTCATTACATTTTGACAGGAAAATGGTCCAATTCACACACTTATCAAGAGAACATCCCTGGTCATCCCTACTGCCTCTGATCTGGCGGAGTCACTAAACACAAATGCTTAATTTGTAAATTATGTTGGAGTGTGCCCCTGGCTATCCGTCAATAAAAATAAACAAGAAAATTGTGCCGTCTGGTTTGCTTAAAATAAGGAATTTGGAATGGTTTATACTTTCACTTTTGATACTTAAGTACATTTTAGCAATTCCATTAACTTTTAATACTTAAGTATATTTAAAACCAAATACTTTTCGACTTTTACTCAAGTAGTATTTTACTGGGTGACTTTCACTTTTACTTGTCATGTTCTATTAAGGTATCTTTACTTTTACTCAAGTATGACAATTGAGTACTTTTTCCACCACTGTCTTTAGGTGGCATTTAATTTACCATGTATTTTACCCCTTATCCCTTTCAGATATACGAAAAAGCTGGTATAAAAAGCAGGAATGGTAAATTATTGGGATTTTGGTTTGTGTATGAAAGTGAGAGGAAAGACCTACGGGTATTTCCACGGTAACAGAATGATGCTGAGGCTCAGATTTTTCACTTTAAAATGAATGTCAAACCAAAACCTTTATTTTCACAGACCATGTAACCAAAATACAGGTGTCGGGTCTGTGTGAATGGTTCTCTGCTTTTTGCAGATAAATTCATGAACACTTCCATTTAACACCTCCTACCTGCAAGTAAGGGTCAGTTTGAGATGGGGTCGTATTAACCTTGCCTTATTATAATAATAATAATAATAATAATAATAATAATATAATATGCCATTTAGCAGACGCTTTTATCCAAAGCGACTTACAGTCATGCGTGCATACATTTTTTTTTTTTTGTGTATGGGTGGTCCCGGGGATCGAACCCACTACCTTAGCGTTACAAGCGCCGTGCTCTACCAGCTGAGCTACAGAGGACCACCTTATATTTTTTACAGGTAATATACCACATCTTCTGTCTGAAATGGGTCAGAGTCAATGTCATTCCCCTTAGGTGGAACTCCCTATGTATGGTGTAAATGACTGAAGTACAGTAATGTTGTCACCAGCCATAATATTAGCAACAGTGCTAAA